TTGTGGCACACAATCATTGAATAATAACTGAGCAAAATTGTTTCAGCTCTCGAGTGAAAAATACAATGTTTTGCAGTTTTTTTCCCCCAGCATTTTTTTAAATCAGTAATAAAAACTATGATACTCTTTTGCAAAAACCACATTAAAGAGGAATTAGAAAGTCCACCTTGTCACAAACCATAGCTGTTTCTTACATGGCACTTGCACTGTATGATTCTTTATAGGTATAGTATGTGTTAACTCTAAGCAAGTAAAGATAATTTTTCCAGAAAATGTTTGTTATATTGGTTGACACCTGTGTAGGGTTCACGACCACAAAGTGTTTGTCCAATCATTGCATGCTTGTACACTTTGTTATTTGCATATCTATGAAGCCAGATGGAGACTTTGGGGTGTGGCTGCTGATGCAGAGGTTATGTAAACAATGTGGGTAAAATAATTCAGATAAAGAGGCCAAAACTGGTAAGCTGCGTCCCAAATCGCATACTTATGCACTATTCTATGCCATTTTGTAGTATAAATAGTGTAAGTAGTGTGTTCACACTGAAAACTCTTTAAATAATAAGTGCACTTTAATTACCCGGATGATGCACTCATTCAGTCGCTAAAATTAAGTGTGGAATGATGGACACTTCACACACTCAACGACCGCAGGTTTGCTTACGTAGCGGAAGGGGCGAAGCTATCGGACGCACATGTTGGATAACTTTATTTATTTTGGATGGAGAAAGCAACATTCTCCTACGAGAGTGATTATATCGCCTCCCGATGGTGAATGCGGCAATACTCACGATAGGTATTATTTGATAATTCGGTCGTTTATTTCACTGATTTGGCAACTGTCAAACGTCATCAGGGAAACGGTTTGAATTTCCGTTTAGTAAAAAAAAATTTGTGCCATTTGGGACAACACTACACACATGTACTATCCTGTTGAGTGTGTAAGTGCATAAGTACATAGTGCATGAGTGCATAGTGTATAGTGTGCCATTTGGGACGCAGCTGTAGTCTTTAAACCAGGGATCACCAAACTTGTTCCTGGAGGGCCAATGTCCTGCAGATTTTAGCTCCAACCCTAATCAAACACACCTGAACAAGCTAATCAAGGTCTTATATGCATACTTGAAACACTCAGGCAGGTGTGTTGAAGCAAGATGGAACTAAACCCTGCAGGGACACCGGCCCTCCAGGACTGAGATTGGTGACCCCTGCTTTAAACCTAGTAGAACCTAAACCTAAAACTGGTAAGTAAAATGAAATGAAGTGAGATTAAGATGTAATGAAATTCCATCGCTTTTTTCACAATCCACCTTTTTGTACATAACTGTGTTTCAAAATATGAGTTGTCTTTCCAATATAGGGGACGTTCATTTAAAATAATTAAAATAAATCATTTTAAATAATATTGTTGTGCAACAAATAATTAATATCCATATTGAAAACTGAATGAGTATGCTTTATCCATCATAAAAAACACCATGGTTGGTATTATAAAGTCTGTGTCAAATATTTTGCTGTTTATTTTATGTTATTTTTTAGGTGAACAATTAATCAATTCATGTTAAAAAAAAGTTTGTTTTAGTAATTTTCAATCAGGGTCTGACTATTTGCTATTTTTTATTTGCAGATGTCCTGCTCTGTTGGTGCCAGTTTGATGGCTTCAGCCACAATATTCTTAACCAACCCCATCTTATCGGTTATTTGCTATGAGGGAATGATATTCATTATTCCTTTTCATGCGGAAGTACATCAACATACTGAAACGGCAGGCACTTTTTTCCAGGGGTTTCAGTACAGCGTAACCGCTACTGCGTCATCGGGTGGGCGTGGCCTATCTGTGAATTTGCATAGGTCACGGATCATGCGCAGATTGTGAAAACAGCCGTTTGATTCAGATACCTGTACGTATTTGCAGGGCTTTCGTGTCCAATGCCTTTTATATGCAGTACTAAATAGCTGTCCTGATCGAAGGTGTTTCATGTGAAGTCAGTGTATGTTATACTAAACAAATTAACTTAAGATACCTCTCAGATTACATTAATACTGTTATAACTTAAGATACCTGTCCCGATCCCACGGCTTTTGTGCCAAATACTTTATCATATACATTAACATCAGATACCTGTCCTGATCCCAGGGGTTTCATGTATGATCACTTTTATATTATATACAGTAACATCAGATACCTGTCCTGATCTCAGGGGTTTCATGTATGATCACTTTTATATACATTAACATCAGATACCTGTCCTGATCCCAGGGGTTTCATGTATGATCACTTTTATATTATATACAGTAACATCAGATACCTGTCCTGATCTCAGGGGTTTCATGTATGATCACTTTTATATACATTAACATCAGATACCTGTCCTGATCCCAGGTGTTTCATGTATGATCACTTTTATACTAAATACAGTAACATCAGATACCTGTCCTGATCCCAGTGGTTTCATGTATGATCACTTTTATATACATTAACATCAGATACCTGTCCTGATCCCAGGTGTTTCATGTATGATCACTTTTATATACATTAACATCAGATACCTGTCCTGATCCCAGGGGTTTCATGTATGATCACTTTTATATACAGTAACATCAGATACCTGTCCTGATCCCAGGGGTTTCATGTATGATCACTTTTATATACAGTAACATCAGATACCTGTCCTGATCCCAGGGGTTTCATGTATGATCACTTTTATATACAGTAACATCAGATACCTGTCCTGATCCCAGGTGTTTCATGTACGATCACTTTTATATTATATACAGTAACATCAGATACCTGTCCTGATCCCAGGGGTTACATGTATGATCACTTTTATATACAGTAACATCAGATACCTGTCCTGATCTCAGTTGTTTTGTGTATGATGACTTTAAATGAAAAATAGAAAATAAATATGAGTTATGTTAATTAACTAAGATCGAGAAAGAAAAATTAACCACGATTTATTACAGAAAATGTGGTATTTATTTGTTTAAACATGACTGAATACCATATTTTAAACTACAAAAACACGGTTAATCTTACCACAACCATTATTATTTGGTTTAAAATGGAAGTACAAAAGCCCAGAGACAGTAAAACGGAGTAAAACGAGGTCAGCCGTTTTTGCTAATGAAATCTTTAAAATATAACATTATAAAAACAAAAAAATAACCTTTATGATTGTTTTTTTCCCTCGTTATCCACCGCGGTAGGTTCTTTATCCATAATCATCCTGTTTGAAATGACCGCGCTAAAAAAGAACCTGTACTGCGCATGATCGGTGACCTCTCATTATTGTTTTTTTTTTAAGGGGGCGTTTCCCAAACACCGACCGAGCCACGCCCATTTTACGTCGTGGTAATGAAACCCCTGGAATTTAGTGCATGCCATACTGAAACAAAGGAGTCTCAGCAACTTCCGGCTTTAACGTGACATTAGTAAACTTTATTTCACAGTTTTGTTCCTCCCAATTATTTTCTATTTTTATTACTTACAGCAGTACCGTTACTCAGTCTGAACATTCAAGGCGAGTTTTTCTGCAGATATATAACGTTAGGGACATGTTGAATATTAGTTATGGTCTGCTGAAATTTCTGATTTACTGTTTTTTTGCTCAGCAAAGGCCTCAATCTTGGAAAATTAGATGCTGTTCAATATTTATATCTTATTGGCTAATAAACAACAATTTAACATTAAACGTTATATTTGGAGCACATTTTTATTTCACGGAAAAGAACAGGCTGAAGTAGTTTAAAATTACATAACCAAACGATTTCAGTTAAATTTTCAATGATCATCAGCATCTTACATCCTCACGTCTAACGTTTAGATTTTTAAAACAAAAAAAGTATAATTTATAATATCTTATATGATATGCTCAACGTGGCGCCGTCGAGTTTACAATTTTTCCATACAGCAATGTTAATGTTTGTTGTAAACCGCAAAGTTAAAACGAACTTATTTCAAACCAGTTTATTCCCTGAAACACGTTGGATTTTTTAACAGACACGTCGTGTGTAACTCTTAAAAGGGCCGTTTGCACCAGTTTGATAACGTGCTTCACCAAATAATATTACTAAAGCCCTTATATCATTTTCAGCTTTATAGGAGCGAAAACCAGTTAACATTACTCACATGTTGAGCAGAAATAACGTCTCTCCAGCACCGTCTTCATCAGCCGGACGTTTTATCCTGAGTTTTTCCCCTTCAAACTACCAGTGTCACGTGGTTTCAATTAACGGCCTACGTTACGGTAAAGTCTAGAGTTTATACAGTCATTTGGTATAGATAGGATACAGCTGCGTATATTTTTGGCCCAAACAGGAACAAAGAGTTTAATTGGTTTGAAATCGAATGTCCAATGAATGTCAAACGTCAAACTAACTTTACCGCGGTGCGTATATATTTTTTACAGTCATTGGTATATGCACATCAATATAGCATCAACCTTATCTGATCTAGCAACAAGTTACGGTTGCAGCCGGAAATAACGATAATTACTTATTTGTATTTTATTATGTAACCCCAAACCTAAACCCAACCTTCACAATAATGTAAAAAAAAACAGTAGTTGTACCGATGACTATATTATTAATTATATTACCCAATAAATTGCGTTTTTAATGTTACTCTTACCACAACTCTAAACCCAACCATCACAGTGCTGTAAAATATTATTGTTATAGTGTCACAAAAACGATGCTATATTGATGTGGTATCCACACCTGTATCCTGTCTAGACTTTACCCCGAATCTGATCTAGCAGCAACCATCCGTGGAACAAATCATGATATGATCTCAAATAAATGTATTCAATATAGCAACTAAAAGCCTATAATTTACTTAGCTAAGTAATTCATTGATTAAACAAATAAAGCACCTAAATAAAAACATAGCTAAGCAAAATTTCTGATTGAACTATCCCTTCATCACTGCTAAAAAAAGAAATGTATAACCTTACAATCACGCACGCACACACACACAAAAATACACCACCCTCTCATTGACCAGGACTATCAGACAACATCTTGTTTATGTAACTTTCAACCACATTTCAGTGAACAAGCATCATTTCATTGCGAAGTTTAAGTTATATATTAAGCTCAGTATTATTATTAATAGTTTGACTTATAAAAATACAGAATTTTTAAAGTGCTATCAGAAAGCAAACAACAGCATTCATGATCAAACCAGAGAAAGCCACAGAGCAAAGAACACCAGGTAATTGTTATTTTTCCCTAAAGGTCATCTGGATGTCAGGTTGATCATCTGGACACAGATCTCTCTGCGAGCCGCTCTTTGGTTTCCTGATATGCTTCAAACTTCTCCCGAAACTCATGAAGGAAGTTGTATTGCTGTAAGAGAGCACAGAGCAGCAGCTCAGTCATATGGTTAGAGGAAGTGATGTTTTAAAGAAATAGTTCCCTCAAAAATTAATGACAATTTACGTTTAGGAAATCAATATAGTCTTTCAAGATTTGACATTACGTTGTTTTGTTGTAACAGTGTATACGACACTCGACAACAATAACTTACGTGTCTAAGGAGGAACATTGTTTACCTGAGAGCTGTTCTCATCTGCAAACGCTGAGATCCGGATTCGGTGATTGTCCTGTCTCTACAGATTTGGTAAGTGAGCGACCAGTGCTCTTTGTTTATTCAGTTTGTTCGTATCGAACAAACTATTGCACTGAGTGTAAACATGTTAGCACTACAACCAAACTTTAACCTCGTGTAGGATTTTCATTGCATTTTGTGACCGGAATAACACACGCGGCTTTCTGACGCTACCTGCCGTATGCATCCAAGTTTCCGGGAAATGCAGAGTTTTTTTTTCTCTCATTTGCCGTGCGATATCAAACATTGCATGAAAAATACACGCTAAGAGCAGTTCCTCGAATCAAATATCTCGTTTGTCGCGAGGGACATGAATGAATTCCCTGAATGAAAGAGCCAAACTGCAGTTAAAGTCCACCATTTAATAATTTGGCAAATAATTCGACTACAGATGTCCATGTAAACACAGTCACTTTCTCCTCTGTGTGTGTTTTGACTCTGAAACTCAGCACGCCCAAATAGACACTCCCACACCATCCCACTTTAGTTCCTCCGACACTCCCCCCTAAACAGAGCTGGACACGCCCACTTTTCCGACTTTTTCCAAAGTAGAGGTGTGAAAACACCCTGCTGAAACAAGGGGGTTTCATGGCTTTCAAACACATTTTTAAAACCATCAAGAATGAAATTTTAGACTTCTATAGGATTTTTTAATGGCCCAGCAGAAAATCTATTTACTAATATGTAAATAAGTATTTAATAATTTACTCTCCCCTGCAAGAAACTAATTGTAGTAAATTATTTCTTAGCGACATATTTTAAATAATGTGTCAAATCAAGTAAACCCTAAATGTATACATGCTACATTTTTTAACATAACCAAATAAACTAAATGTATGCACAACAGACAGGATGCGTGTTGGATCAATTGGGTAGCTTTGCATAAACAAAGAAAAATTAAGACTCATTTAAAACAAGACAATATTTCAATGAAATTGAAAACATTTGAAGACTTTAAGACACCGTGAGTCTCTCTTTAAGGATGTAGATTCTTACTTTGACAGTCTGAATGGCTCCGGCTCCTCTCAGCTCCCGCAGGATCTCCAGAGCTGTGCTGGGTGTCATGGACACAGAGAGCTGCAGCAGCAAACATGCAGCAACTGTGACAATGAAACACAAGTTAAACTCCTAATCACACACCCGGGACTAACATTAATCATGACACTGCATGCTGTTTTAGCATTCGAGTCTTACTCAGCCCAGAGCGTCCCAGACCTCCATAACAACTGTGGAGGAACAAACAGCATTCAATTAGAGCTTAAATATAATAGTTACATTTATAAAATAGGTTTATAACTAACTCTATACATTTTAAAACTGATAGTTCACCCCAAAAATGAAAGAAAAAAAAAGTCCTGTTCATATACTCACCCTCAGGTCATCCAAGATGATTTCTTCAGAGGGTGTACTTTTAGCTTAGCATAATTCATTGAATCGGATTAGACCATTAGCAAGTCGCTCAAAAAAAATTCAAAAACGAATTTTGTTATTATTCCTACTTAAAGTACGACACTTATGTAGTTACTGGGGAAAAACCAAAAGATGCTATTTTCTAGGTACTATTTTCTCATTCGGGCATAATAATCAAGAAACTTTGCATCTATACCACAGCGGCAGCAAGAGCAATAATATTCTGCAGAACCTGAAAACAGACCCTGGCTGGATAACAGTGCTGCATAATATCATTGCCCCTGCTGCTGACATGGTACGGCAGAAATGTTCCTTGATTATTATGGCAGGATGAGTATAGTTAGTCTAGCCATATCTAGCTACAAATTAGAGAGTAGTGATGATAGAGTCATTTCATTCATTCATTTATTCATTCATTTTCATATTAGCTTTGTCCCTTTATTAATCTGGGGTTGCCATAGCGGAATGAACCACCAACTTTTCTAGCATATATTTTACACAGTGGATGCCCTCCCAGCTGCAACCCAGCACTGGGAAACATCCACACACACTCATTCACACACATACACTACAGTCAATTTAGCGTACCCAATTCACTTATACCAAATACTTTTAGACTCGTGGGGGAAAGCGTAGCACCCAGAGGAGATCCACACAAACACAGGGAGAACATGCAAACTCCACACAGAAATGCCAACGGACCAAGCCGGGGCTCAAACCAGCAACCTTCTTGCTGTGAGGCGATTGTGCTACCCACCGTGCTGCCCTCATTTTGTTCAATTTGCCAAGATATTATTAAAATGTTACGAGTTGTTTCCAAACTCATTTACAATTATCCCAAACGTTGATCACACTACAAAAAAGTCATAACTAGAATGCTATAGGAAAGAGAAAATAATCATTTATTGTTTTTCCTGGTCTTTTGTCTATGATTAGCTCAGCTCACCTCTTCTGACAGGTCTTCATTTTGAGTGGTTCATTCACAATACACTGACAGTCTCATATAAGCTTAAACAAAGCACACAGTCTGAGCCGAAAGAAGCCATGATTAGTTCACCTTTCAAGTCTTCTGGTTTTTTAGTCGATTTGGTTATCAAGTGACAGCATGTAAAGAGAGATCACTCAAAACTGAGGACTCGAGGGATGAAAGAATCAAATTTTTTTTCCTGCTCTAAATGCATACGATCGGCTTCTGTCTTTCAGGTGACGAATGAGCGACTTAAACCCGATAGAAGACTCGAAAAAGGAACTAATCTTTTACTCCACTTGCACAAATGTGCGCATGCGCAAATGAATGAATCACTCACAGAGGACTCGACCCATCACCAATAGCAAGTTTTTATTCTCCGTCAGCCTTAGTAGAACATGTACAGAACAGTCAAGCGTTAAATATGAAATTTATCAAAACTTAAGAAAAAAAAGTTTTGTAAAATGCTAATGGTCTAATCTGATTCAATGATTTATGCTAACCTAAGCTAAAAGTATTCCCTGCAAATTGGCTTAATGGATTTTAAAAAAATATATAATTTTAACTGAGCGGTAAAATGAGCCTATTTCCCAAGAAAAGTGGAGTATTCCATTAAAGATGAAAAAATTCCAGGCAATGGTTACCATATATTTAGATTAACTAAAAACACATACAAACAAGTCCAAATCAATATCTATGGTTCCTGATGACACACTGATGTCTTGTGAAGTGAAACGGTCAGTCAAATTGTACATTATTTATAATGTTATCAACTTTACAGGCTGGGCAAACAGTGCAAGTTTCCAGTTGCTTATTGACATAAGTGTGAGCGTGCACTTAGATACAAGTTCTTTTATCAGAATGATGCCATGTCTGGAGCCTAATTTATAGCAGTTGCCACATATTGGATAAGTACAGACAAGAATAATTTAGGCAAAAATTAACAATCAACACTACTACTGAGTACTCTTTGCCCAGGCTGAAAATTTAAAGCTAATAATATAGTCAATAATGATGATTGTTTTGCTTAATAAAACCCTCAGTGCACCATCAGGATGCACAGGAATTGATTTGAACATGCTTGTATGTGTTTGCTTTGAATCTCCAAAAGGGTTACCATTAAATTGCCATGGACCATGGATTCAGTTAAAAATGTTTTTTTAAGTTCTACTGGATGACCCGAAAGCAAGTAAATTAACTGTAAATTTTAATTTTTGAGTGAACTCTACCTCTTAATTATGAGTAATAATAACAAAAATAATAATATAATTAAAGATTAAATATAGAATAAATAATAAAGAATAAAGAAATAAATATAGGAATAAAGGATTAAATATAAAATGTCTGAATACATTACACATTTTTGTTATTTTGACCAATTGTCGAATTGTCTTTTAAATGACCACATTTGTATTTTCAATTTGTATGAAATATCGTAAGAAATTAGCAAAAACTTAAATGTTTACCTCAAACACATAACTACATATTTTAAATACAACAATAGCAATATAAATAATACTTAAATACTTATATAATAATATTTATTCTCATAGCTGACAAATACATAATATTGCTAAGCAGAGAGTGTCTCTTACTGTATGACAGTTCTGCGTTGGTTTTGCAGGCAGTCCTTGAGCTCCTCCAGAACGCAGCTGCACTGATAAAGCTCTGGAGCTCCACCGTCAGGGAAGGGGAAGTGATGGACTCTGAGACCCCTTTGAGAATAAACCTCTAGCAGACACGGCACTCTGTAGCGCACCAGCTCTCCTCTGGTGCAGAACACAAACACATCCTCCACACCCTGATCACACATCTCGGCTTAACAAAAACACACAACATGTCACTTACAGCAATCTTATCCTATAGGGGCATGTAGATTACACACACAATGAGTCGAGATGGTGTAAAATTGATATAGTGATGGCCTTTTCTGTTCTGCTTTGACCAGGTAAAACGACTTATTATGTAACCACTGTAGATTTGTTTATAAATTTTGAGTTTGAAAGGATGTAATTAATCTCCAAGTTTGCATCTAACTATTTTTAAAGGTGCAGTATGCAAGTTTGACACCCAGTGGTTGAACTAGGTATTGCATTCCTGGATCAAAACAAACGCAAGCACAGGTTGCCAGATTGAGGACCAACAGGAGCTAGTCTGACGATCAAGCCTAAAGCCTGATTTAAGGCTGATTTATTTTGTTTTCTACATAAAAGAAAAAGCATGTGATAGAAGGAATATTCTCCATATTAAATGGAGTTTTTGTTCTAACCAACACCTGGAAGAGATTAGAAAAGACTTCTATTTCTTAAATACTTATATTTTTAGTTTGAATGCCATTTTACATGACATTTTTTGTGATACTACTGAAAGCAGCAGCAGATAGTTCACCTCAGATCTTGAAAAAAAAATGGTTTGAAATTGAACTTAAGAACTGTGACTCAGTGCAAACCAACACATATCAGTGATTCAGCATGTACACTTAATAATGTTAGAGTGGTTTAATATGTATTAATTAGATTATAAACCTTACCATTTCACGAGTGAGTGCAGTAAGTGCACTATTATGTGCTTCTAAATGGCTGTATTGAAATTTCCCTCGTGTTTTGTCTGGTGCAAACAGCCAAATTGCTTATCAGTGCAAATCTCGTCACGTATCGTGTTGTTAGGACACGAGGTTACAATGTAATCTGCTCACCTAATTTTTGCAATCATAATATTTATATTATTTGCTAATTAATAATCTCATGTGGAACTCTGCTTCTCACACTGAGGTCATGTGGAAATCTGCTTCTCACTTCGGAGTCTGCTACTGTCCACCGGAGGTCGTATTGCGGTCACGGACACATGCTTTGAGACCCTTTCTGAACAAATAAATGAATAGTGGTTTTCCACCAAGGCAACCCGAGGCGCTGAAATATAACTGGCTAAAGTGTCAGTGGGCTGGTGAAAAGAACCGAAACAATGACAGCCGTTCCAGCACGTAACACACATTTTCAATGCAGAAAATCCGACTTAGCATTGTTTTTCCGATAAACAAGAATGATCACTTGGCATGTTTCTTAAATAAAACTAAAAACTAAACTAAAATAAAAGTTTGAGCTCGAGCTTGCACCGACTGATCTTGAGTTACATTACAGTCTTTGGTCGTATAAAAGTTTTCATAAATGTGCTATTATGTAAATGTAGCATGATTTCCTCACAGCAAGAAGGTCGCTGGTTCGAGCCTTGGCTGGGTCAGATGGCAAATTATGTGGAGTTTGCATGTTTTCCCCGCATTTGCGTGGGTTTCCTCTTGGTGCTCCAGTTTCCCCGACAGTCCTAAGACACATATATAGGTGAATTGAATAAGCTAAATTGGCCATAGTGTATGTGTGTGGATAAATGTGTATGGGTGTTTCCCAGTGCTGGGTTGTGGCTAGAAGGGCAGCCGCTGCGTATAACATATGCTGATTAATAAAGGGAGTAAGCTGAAAGGAAAATGAATGAATGAATGAATGAATGAATAAATGAATGAATGAATGAATGAATGAGTAACTATGCTGACCTAGCCTAACCCAGGCTTAGTCTGAACCTTGTCTGTGAAACCAGGCCAAATATTGATATGATATTTACATATGAAAGAGGTTAATCTATTATTATAACTGCAAGTTTCAAAGCTAAAAACAAACTCCCCTGATTAAAGTATGCGCTATACACTCATGATTCTTTTATGTATACTAACATTATGAAACACCAAGATTTGAAATCAACAGAATGGTGATGTCATGATTCTCCTTGGGACGTCACTTAATGTGCATGTCTCATGTCCGTCTAACAGTAAAACTGTCAAAATCAGAAATTCATTCTGATGCACTTTCAACTTCATAATCTTTTTTCCCGATCATTTTCTTTGGCAAATAGTTTATGACCGTAATTTTTATCCGTTTAAATACATAGATTTATATTTATATTATTCATTCATTCCTTTTCTTTTCGGCTCAGTCCCTTTTATAATCAGGGTTCGCCACAGCGGAATAAACCACCAACTTATCCAACATATGTTTTACACAGCGGATGCACTTCCAGTTACAACCCATCACTGGGAAGCACCCATACACGCTCACACACTACGGACAATTGAGCTTACCATATTCACCTATAGCGTATGTCTTTGGACTGTGGGGGAAACCGGAGCACCCAGAGGAAACCCACGCAAACAAGGTAGAGAACATGCAAACTCCACACAGAAATGCCAACTGACCCAGCCAAAGCTTGAACCACCAACTTATTTGCTGTGAGGCGACAGCGCTACCCACTGCGACATTGCGCCACCTTATTTATAATATACTACATTTCATGATTGCTAATGTTAATGTGCATGAGCAGTCATTTTAGTCTTCATTAAGCGCTCTGCGTTTTTTCAGGCATTGCAAATCATCAGTGTCACTTTTGAGCTAACCTTCAAATCATAGTGGAGGAGGGGCGAGACTACACCACACACCTGTCACCACCACAACAACTTGTAATGGCAACTGACTAAAAAAATAACACTGCAGTACCAAAATGCTCACAGCTGTATTTTTGAACATTGCTTGCCTTTCTGCAGCGCAAAAACAATTCAGTGGACAAGCAGCCTAAAGGCTCATTCAAACCAGAAGAGTCTTTGCTTCTAAAAACATGAGAAGCAATGGTTCGGAATGGTTTGAAAAAAAGCACAGCGCAAAGAACAAGGGTATCAGGACACAGCCACAAAGCCATGTAAATAGAAACTTTGAAGATACAATTGTTGCCCCACCTCTGAGCTCTTCTGATTGGTCTACTGCTGTGGAACTGACAGTGACGAGCTGTGACGAGTGTGAAAGTTGAAGTTATTTTAACTTGACACGGCATCTAAAAATGCGGCACTTGAGTGCATGACGCTTCAAAAGACACAATCGTAATGGTCAAACACGGCCGTCAAGTGTGTGTTTACACTGAAATGTTTGAAAGGAAAGGAAACACACATTATGTGTAATCTGCCCCTTAGTCCGCTTCATACTACCCTAATAATAAGTGTAGAATAATTTAACTTATATAAGAACATGATTTCTGCACGATTTAATAAAGACGACTTGTTTCAACACATGATTGAGTGTGATCAAAGTATGCATCTGTTTGTTGCAAATACATGTCCTCTAACAGCAATAAAAATACATACTGTGCCATTAAGCGACACAAATCTGTGCCTAGAACCTCAAGTTTGACTGGAAAAAAATTTGGGTCTTGCATTTAAAAGCTAAAAATATCACTTGTTTTGCCAACCAAAATTTTCATTGTTATAAACTTAGTTTAGAAATCTTCCGAGTATGTGTGTGTGAGCTAAACTTACCAACATCTTTCTGCAGGTTTCTTCTGTTTTCTTTATATCTGCACCCTGAAATGAGCAGAAATCTTCACAAATATTGAAAGAGCACAAAAAGACACATTATTTATTCATCAATACGTTTTACCAGGTAGAGAACAGATGCCAAGAGACTGGGAGCACTCCACCATTGACAGAGATAACCTGCAAAACACAGACCTCAGATTACACTGTCTATGCAGTATTACACTGAATAAAGCATGTATGTATTTGCTTGCGTTGCTCACCATGAGATCTGAAAAGGTGTCGTTTCCTCTTCACCAAAATCCTCTTCGTCAGATGAATCAAACTCACTTGTCCTCATTGCCCCTGTCTATTGTACAAACAAATGTAAGACACGTCACCATGACTATTTATCAAACCGGACACTGTCAAATGACAGCTGAAATGTGAAGCTGCTGTCCAAACACAAGCATGCTCTGATCATGTGTGTGTTTGAGAGAGAGAGACTGTAAGTTACTATGCTGAGGGACTGCGTCTCATATCTGCAGTATTATTCTCGTCTGCACAACTAATATTTAATCGACACAATACAACCCGAAGTTATCAAACCGAAACATTAATTGCAACATATAAACATAAATTTGTAAACGACACAATCATCAACCCAACTCACCGACTTATCACACTGCGAATACGCATGCGCGGACATTTCAAAACATACTAAAGAGACTTATCCAATCATAGCGCATATGTTAAACAAACCACGCCTTTGTTCAGACACGCCCCACACGCGCTATGTACTAATTAAATATTAATGAGGCGTTAAGTTTTTCAGTTTATTTGATGTGGTACAACATTAATGCCAACATTACTGCATAACATATTTCGACCTAAGTTAAAGTAATACCTAACACTAAAATAATAATACCAAAACATGTTTATAAGCGAGGGGAAGTCAAATTGAGCTCCAATGAACCAAGAACTCGCTCTCTTGCAGACTGTGCGAGAGCGCGTGAACGTTCCTGGGACACCGGACTGCGCGCGCGACCGTGTTTCTGTGGATCCCTCTGCAGACAGACGCAGTGTACCGACACCGACAGACCGGACACCGGGACACGCACGAGCTCAGGGAGACACGCTGAACTACAGAAACATGAGGTCACCACTTTGTCAGAGAAATGGAATAACATTTAAACTGAAAAAGAAATCTTGAAGATTTGTTTTCTTGTGAGTATGCGCGTGCTGCGCATTTATAGTCATGTTTATTATGAACTGCCTTTGACTTTAATTGCTTTGCTTTTTTGTTTTTTCTTAGCATTATTATTTTCTGCAATGTTGTGTCATTTATAGGTTTTAGAAATTTGAAGTAATAATTATTTCAAGCTCATTTGTATTGCGCATTTAACATTTTCTTTTAGCAAATGTGTTGTACAAATAGTTTTAAGACATTTCAAGACATTTAAAGATTCATTTATGAATCTGTCCCCTCTCTGCTGTAGGGTGGAGCTCTTTGGCAGGTATCTTTCTTTCCCCATCTGGGATTCGCTGACTGGGCGACGAGCTCGAGGTAAAACAAGCGCGCTTCTTGGCTGCACTATTTACTGAGGAGATTTAATAAAAACAGCCTTTTTATATTGAGCAGCTGATGATATTTTAGGTAATCAGGGCTTACTGTTGTGGTGACTAACTTGTTAAAAATGGACTCCTAAAAAAAGCTTACACTCCTAAAAATAAATCTTTATTGGGCTTTTTATGATGAACTAATAAATCATTAGCAGGGTTGAACAAAGATAAAGATCAAATAAAAAGATAAGATAAAACAAAAATAAATAAAATACCAAATACTTTAAGTTTAAAATACAGTGTATTTTAAAAATACTACAAAATACTTTTAAAAAGGAGCATTACATCAATCCCTTTAGCATTAAACTATCTTTTCAATACTCAATGTAAAAACTAGATTTCTGAAAACTTCATCAAACTCTTCATATACTATATCCTGCTCCTGCTGTATAACCTGTCAATACATATGTGTTTTATATGTTCTCACTCTCACATCTTTAGGCATAATTTACTATACATTGCAAAATACCTGCTCAACTAATGCCATTTAAAACAGCCAAAGAAGAATTGTAGGAATCACCACTGTAGGACTTATTTTTATGTTGCTGGTTTTAAAGACAACTTTTGGAATCAGCAATCCGTCCAAAGCTACTAATATTTATACAATATCCTCTTTCTATTTTATATTTGTTTCAGTTCTTCTTTAAATGGAAGAGTTAATAATGTCCAAAGCACCAATCAGAGGGTGCATCTATATCAGAGGTGCCCAAACCTTTTCTTATGAAGGACCAAAACACAAACTTGATTGAGGGCCATGGGCCAAGGTCAATATATCAAGCTGTATTGCAAAGTTTCCATGAATTATTTCCTGGATTATTTAAATATAGACAACATTAAGCATAACAACTAATCCATCATATATTTTTATACATTTTATAATGAACCTATTTTCATGAAAACATAAGAATTCCATTTATAACATTCTGGAGTTTAATGCCGAATACACTAGTCATGGTTTTAAAGGTATTACCCCAACCCTCCCCAAATTCTCCCTCTCTTCTCAGATGGGATGACGGGCCAAATCAAAGGTTACAATGGGCAGACTTTGGCCTGCAGGCCCTAGTTTGGGCATCTCTGATCTATATGATGTCACCATGTTCTTACAAAGTCTTTTCATTCATTCTTTCATTTTCTTTTTGACTTAGTCCCTTTATTAATCAGGGGTCGCCACAGCGGAATCACCAACTTATCCTGCATGTTTAAGGCAGCGAATGCCCTTCCAGCTGCAACCCAACACTAGGAAACACCCAAACACACTATTTCACACACATACACTTCAGCCAATTTAGCCTATCCAATTCACCTGTAGCACATGTTTTTGGACTGTGGGGAAACCGGAGGAACCACTAACACATGCAAACTCCACACAGAAATCCCAACTGACCCAGCCAGGACTCGAACCAGTGATCTTCTTGCTGTGAGCCGACCGTGCTACCTACTGTCACACCAAAAAATATTTAACAATATTTAAAAAATACAAAAATTCAAGACACTAAAGTATTTTGATACAAAACATTAAGTCATTTTCAACAACCCCATCAAATACAAATGATAAAATATTATTTTGCATTTAAAATACGTATTTGATATGCATGTATCATAAATACTGGCCATCCCTGCGTTTAAGGAACCAAAAAAAAGCAAATGAATCCTCTTTTTGAACCGCTATATTTAACAGTGTAGCTCAATGGCTTTAAAGTTTCCATAAAGAACTTAAAAAACAATAACAACAACAACAACAAAAACACTACAGTCCAAGAAATTTAATTCATATTTTCTTCACTGTTGAATGAAAGAAACTGGCCCTCCTATTGCATTGCAGTGAAAGCTATATTTTGAAATATTGGTGTATTCTTGTATTGACAAACCTGTTAAAATGAAAACAAATGAATCAAATCACTGGTTGTGAAATAAAATCAGGGCTGCAGGAATTTGGAAAAATCTGACAATGTGATATTTTGTTTTGCCATATATTACAACATAAATATAATTTCACCAGATAATTGACAATTGAACAGAAATCTATTCAGAAAGATTTCATTAATTCAGATCGACTGGGATTATGTGACTATTGCAGACACACACACATTGCAATATCGATACTCAAACCATACATGTGCAGCCTAATAACAAACAATAAATGGATGATCATGTCTTATATTGCTGTGCTGCTCCTACGACACCAACATAAATCTCAGTGTTCACCTGCCTCTCTGCAGAGTATGTTTACAAACCTTCTAGTGTGTGTGTGTGTGTTCAATGATGTTTGTGTATCTCCACACAGAAAATGAAATCCCATGAGGGAGACATGGAGAGAGAGATCTCTAAGGTAGCAAACACACACAGACTCTTCTCAACACAACAGAGGAATAACAAGAAATATGTTTAAGTTTAAATGTAGTTTCTCAAAGGATCTGTAAACATTTAGTGTCATTAAAAAAGACATTTTTTGAACTATTATGCAGAATTATCAGTAGTACCATTGTCAAAAAATTAGCGTAATTAGTAATTAGTACACTTGGCTAGTTATGGCAAATAGTAAAACTTAAAAAATATATATCTTTGCTCAGTTATCACCCATAATTCTTAGTAAGTGCAATCGTCATTAAGAGTCTTCACTGAGTGCTCAGCTTGACCTGTGTCGTGTTCAGGTTCAGGGGATGGTGTGTGAGTTACGGGCAGGGTTTTCTCGAGCGCTGCTGGAGCTGAATCAGATTCAGCAGGGAGACACAGAGCTGCAGAGCCAGCTGGAGGACACCAGACACGGCTGCAACAAGCGGGCCCTTCACCTCGAGAGCCTGGTGTTGTCCCTTAAGGTGGGATCACGGTCAGTCTGATATATATGCGTGTGCTTGTTTACTGAAGTCACTCATTATATGTGTGACTTCAGGAGGAGCTGGAGGAGGTACGCTGTCAGTTTCGTCAGCTTTGTGAGGCACAAGACAGAAAGCCACCAGAGAATGCAGGACGAGAGAAGTAAACAACTACGTAGACACACACACACAAACAGACATGTAAAAATTTACTAACAGAAATTATGACTGAGACTGTGGTACACTGCCAATGTGTGTGTGTGTGTGTGTGTGTGTGTGTGCAGTAATGGAGTGGATGACAGTAGTGGATGCAGTAGTGATGGTGCAGCAGAGGCTCCTCATGTTTCATCAGCAGGAGGTGCTCTTCTCATACACTGTTACCTGCAAGGATTACAGGTGTGGCAACGTGCCAGACAGAATACAGGTGAGCTTAATAATCAGATATACACACAATAGTTGTGGTAAAACTATTGAACAACACTTGTTTAAGCACAATTTTAAACAATTTGTTAGACGCTTGAAAAAATATGCTCAGTTCTGAAAAAAATGCTTTGGTGAACTTGTACCTTAAGAGACCACTTCAACATTTTTAACCTATGTAAAGTTATGTATTGTGTGTATTTATTGTGTAAATGTGCTATATAAATACACCGTACACCCTAACCCGAAGTGCTTCACAGTCACGAGGGGGTCTCTCCACACCACCACCAGTGTGCGGCATCCACTTGGATAAAGCGACGGCAGCCACAGAACAACGGCGCCAGTGCGCTCACCACACACCAACTATAGGTGGAGTGGAGAGACAGTGATAGTGGAAGGGGATGAATGGGAGGTCATGATGGGTAAAGCCTGGTTTATACTTCCACGTCAAGTGATCGGTGTGACCCACGGCTTACGTGCAACGCGCATAGCCATGCATTTATACTTCTGAGCGTTGTTTCGGTTGCTTTGCAATAAGACTTCTGAAACGCTGGTTGGCAGTGAAGTGTTTTTGTTCCAACGACCAATGACAGAGCTTGCGCTAGGCGTGGCTGTGACGTGTAGTTAAATTTTTTGAGAGGTGCGCGCCAGCGATGCCGACGGCCACGGCGAAGGCTATACGTCCATGCTTAGGCTGCGCTGTAGCATACCCCGCTGTCCGCTTGACGCAAAAGTATAAATCAGCCTTAAGGGCTGATGGGGGATGTTTGGCCAGGACACCGGGGCTACACCCCTACTCTTTATGAGAAGTGCCATGAGATTTTTTAATGACTACAGAGAGTCAGGACCTTGGTTTAACTTCTCAGCTATTCATAAATTACTAATAAAATATAATTTTTTATGTTTTCTCCACATTCCCTCCAAAACTTTTAGCGGTCGATGAGTTTCTAGTATTCATTCATTCAAATATGGTGAACAGACGGAGAATAAAAGCTTTTGCACTTTTTCGGGATGTCGCGAGAATCAGCTTCTCTCCCATTGTGCACGGCAAAACTGAAAATGGTGTGGTAAGGTGGCTTTAAATTATTTAAACTCCTGCGACTAGACAGTATGCGATCAGATGTGACGCATTTTAGTGTTGTCCAAGCAGATCTGTGTGTGCGAGATGAGAAATAGTAGGTTTTTTTGTAATTTTTTTAATCAGAAAAAAAGTTTATATATATATATATATATATATATATATATATATATATATATATATATATATATATATATATAAATTCTATCTTTCTCCACATGATCTCTAAAAGTTTTAGAGGTCAGTGGGTTTCTAGTATTCATTAATTCATTCATTTAACCATGGTGAGCAGACGGAGAATAAAAGCTTTTGCACTCCTATATTTCGGAATGCCGAGAGAATCAGCTTCTCTCCCATTGTGTACGACAAAACTAAAAAAGTCTGTGCAACTGCCACAAGAGGGCGTATTCTGACAGTCGTGTCCAAATGTTTTGTGCAGTGGGAAGGTGACTTTAAAATATTTAAACTCCTGCAACTACACCGTATGCAACCGGTCGACCGGATGTGACACATTTCAGTGTTGTCCAAGCGGGTCTGTGTGCGCAAGATGAAATAGTAGGTTTTTCGATACTTTTTTGAATCAGAAAAAAAGTTTAGATATTATTTTTTTAAAAATAAATGAGTAATAAAAAATATAATTTTTAAAAATCTCGTCTCCACATTCCCTTCAAAAGTTTTAGCGGTGAACAGACGGAGAATAAAAGCTCTTGTTTTTGCACTCCTTTATTTCGGGATGCCGTGAGAATCAGCTTCTCTCCCATTGTGCATGAAAAAAACTGAAAACTCTGTGTGACTGCCACAAGGGGGCGTATTCTGACAGTCGTGTCCGAAAATCGTGTGCAGTGGAAAGGCAGCTTGACTCTAGTGTGACCTTGACTTTACATAATTACCAAAATACAATGTTTGCAATTGTACAGTTAAACCAGTAGAGGGCCCAAAATTACATAGTTAAAATTATATTCTAAAATGTTAAGAATCATTAATATGGATGATTGGACGCAAATGATATTAGACATTCTATAAAATTGCTGTCAACAATTTTGTTAACCCTTTCAGGTGCAGATGTTCATTCCTGCCAAGCAACACACAGCTGCTTAAGGCGAGGTATATAATCTCTATTAGGCAATTTAACTGTTTAATGTTCAAATGGGGATCCTCAATCTTTTGTTTTTTTTCTGTCAGGCAGGAGGCGGGCAGTGGTGGAGATGCTGCTGCAGTCTGAACGCGATTATGTTTCTACATTGAATCAGCTCTATGAGAAATACAAGTCTGCAGAGCAAAAGTAAAAACAATCATTATGATAGTGTCTTTATCTGAATGATGCATCATAACAATCGTATTCTGTGTTTGTGATTCAGTGTGGGGTTTGTAAAGCATATTGATCAGATGCTGCAGCGCCACCTGCTGTTCCGCAACACCCTAGAAGAGCGTCTGACCACTGACGAGAGAAGCTGCGCTGCTGGAGACGCTTTTCTCAACCTCACTGGACAAAACAATGTAAGAAAAGAACAAAGCTACTAACATAACTGGAAAAGTAAAGTTCATAGGCAAACTTTATGGTGGCTTGAGTAAGCCTCATCTAAAAGGCTGAAGTAGTTTAAATGTTGAAAGAATTTAAGTAATTTTAAGACGCTTATACGATTATAACTGTATACAGTAGGTTAGGATGTTTCTAGTATGGATTTGGCATGATTCTTGCTAGGCTGTTGCTAGGGTGTTCTCAGTGGTTGCTAGGGTGTTATGAGTGGTTGCTTAGGTGTTGCTAGGATGTTCTTAGTGGTTGTTAAGGCGTCACTAGGGTATTTTATGTGGTTGCTAATATGTTGCTAAGTGGTTTGCTAAGGTGTTGCGGGTGGTTGCTAAGGTGTTGCTAGGTTGTTACTAAGATGTTGCTAGGGTGATCTGAGTGGTTGCAAGGCGGTTGCTAAGGTGTTTCTAGGTGATTGCTAAGGTGTTCTAGGTTGTTGCTAAGGTGTTGCTAGGTGGTTGCTTGGGTGTTCTGAGTGGTTGCTTGGCAGTTGCAATAGCGTTGCTAGGTGGTTGCTAAGGTGTACAGAGTGGTTGCTAATAGGTTGCTAAGGTGTTTTAAGTAATTGCTGAGGTGTTGCTAGGGTGTTCTGAGTTGTAGCTAGGCAGTTGCTAAGGCATTGCAAAGGCTTTCTAGGTCGTTGCTAAGGTGTTGCTAGGGTGTTCTAGGTTATTGCTAAGGTGTTGCTGGGGTGTTCGGAGGGGTTGCTAGGCAGTTGCTAAGGCATTGCAAAGGCTTTCTAGGTCGTTGCTAAGGTGTTGCTAGGCGGTTGCTAAGGTGTTCTAGGTTATTGCTAAGGTGTTGCTAGGGTGTTCTGAGTGGTTGCTAGGCAGTTGCTAAGACGTTGCTAGGTGGTTGCTAAGGTGTTGCTGAGGTGTTCTGAGTAGTTGATCATGGTACAACAGTGCATGATTTGAAAAAAATTGTTAGTGGCTTGTGAAAATATTGTAGAAGTGATCATTTGAAAATGTAAATACTTGCAGAGATTTATAGAAATGAAGTGTTGCATATTGATATTTCTGTTTCCTACATTATTAAATCATTGTTGACAGCTATTGTGAGAATCATTAACATGATCAGTGTCTTCACATAGATGAATATCATTAATTATTAATAATTAAATATAAAAGTAAATTGAGCAAATTTGTTATTTGAGAAGTGTGTATCAAACTGCTAGCCCTCCACATTAATCGATACTCAAAAAGTATCCACCACTTTCAAAAAGGTCGGTGACCCCTCCTTTAAGCAGTAAAAGATCATAAGATGTAGCGCTACACTTTTCAGATCTTAACGAAAAAAACTGTCAATATATGAAAAATGATGTTTAGTGTTCTTACTGTTATGATTGTTCTCGAGATGATACAAAACATTGTTTGTAGGGCATCATGTATGCATTATTTATAAAAATAATAAATTCAGTTTTCATAGAAAGTGATAAAAAAGCTTCTATTAATACGATTACAAAAATAATTGACATTTTTACCAAAAATTTATTGCACATATTCCACCAACAAGACATACTTCTTTAGCAGCAAATCAACATATTCATATGATTTATATATGATCATGAGGCAATGGAGGCTGGAGTCACCATAGGAATGAATGACTATTTATTTTTATTTTTGGGAAATATTAGGATGTTTTAAATCTTTACCTAACTTAATATGGATAAACATGGATGGATGTTTCTTTGTTTGTTCGTTTGCAGAACTCTTTCTCTGATGTATACCTAGGGTATGTGTCTGGTTTGGGAACGGTCCTGAGAACAGAGTTCAGTACAAATTCACCTCAAAGCAATCCACAAAACACACAGGCAAGATCTTCCTTTTTCACAATATGCGATTGTAAAATTCTCGTAAAAAAATAAGTCTACAGCAATCAGGCTGTGCATGTGCAAGGCATAATATTGCTTCATGTGATTATGTGTGTTTTTCTGATAGGAGGAGAAGGAAAGCTGCAGGTTGCTTTCGTTGCTGTTCACTCCTGTTTCCCGCATTCACACATATCTGAACATCATACAGGTGAACCACATGCTTGCAAATGGACAAAATAATTACAAAAAATGATTCATTATCCAAAATGTATCCATTAACTCAGTCTCATTCTTCAGAAATGATTTTAATACGCTGATGTGGTGCTAAAGAAACATTTATGTAACAGTTGGGCTGCTTAAAGAAAAATACTATTACCTCACCTTTCACTCGCCCTAACATAGTTACAAACCTTTAAAAGTTTCTTTATTCTGTTGAAAGCAAAAGAAGATATTTTGAATAATATTGGAAATCAGTAACTATTGTATTTCATAAAGAGGAGAAAAAATAGCAATTAGGGGCGTCTGGTTTCCTGCATTTTTAAAACACTTTCTTCTTTGTTTAATAGAAGATCTGAAACGGGTATTGTTGCAGCATTTATTTTAAATAAATGATATATAAAAATAAACTGTATCAAATGTCACTTAAAATGCATATTAAAATATTAAATCAATGCAGACAGCTTAATAAACACAGCCAAAAGCTGGTGCATTTAACCCAGTGTAACATTAGCTGAAAATGTACCCATGGTTCTAATACACTGTAAATAAAACCATCAACATGTTTTTTTTGTAGGTATAATCATGGTTTTAATTCAGTCAGCACTAAAATGTGTAACATGATTCGGGGTGTGACAGCAAAACTAAATATATATATATATATATATATATATATATATATATATATATATGTTTAGTTAAGTTTTTAAAAGTAAATTATAGATAAATAATGATAAAATTTCGACCATTAAACAATTATATATGTGTTTGCTAGACTGTACTTACTGGCTATTTTTGTTCATGTTAAAAATGTTATAATTTTTTTTAGAAAAACATCTCTCATTTGTTACGTTTGATGTTTTGGTTTATGTGATTCATGTTTTGTGCTTCCAAACTTGCGTTAAGTGCACATAGCGAGCATCCATACGCAAACATTTCACTGCACTAGAAAAATTTTGCAATTGATACAGCACTTATATTATCTGACACAGAACAATCCCTTGTAGCATTTTGGTCGAGCACACTTCAGTTTTTGGTTGCCCAAAATAAATTCAAGTGAAATAATGTAATGTAATGTGATGTAGTTTTATTTAATGCCATGGCAACAACCAGGGATATTTTCATGGTAGGAACATTTCAATAATAAATCAAAAATCAACAAACAAATGAATAGATAAAATAAATACGATTTTTAGCACTAAAACATGATAAAAATTCTAAAAACTAATTCTAAGTTGTAAAATGTCCTTAAGAGAGTTCATTTAAAAACAATGAAGAAGTAATCTGAATCATTAAAAGCAGGACAATCCAGCAAAATATGTCTTACTGTGAGCATTTTGCAGCAAAAACATTAAGTGGGTTCTTCTCACGTGAATAGAAATTGAAAAGACATTATTTACTTGTAAAAAAAAAAAAAAAAAAAAAAAAAATATATATATATATATATATATATATATATATATATATATATATATATATATATATATATATATATATATATATATATATATATATATATATATATATATATAATGGCATTTATTATAGGCTGCATATATACATTTATTTAAAAATAGGCAATTTTAAAAAATTATTATATTAATAATTTTTTAAATGGGCTATATGCACACAGACTTTCCATTTTTTTTAGCCAGGCAGCCCAAGGGCGTCTTTCCATTACACAATTGTCACATTAAAGATCTGATTTCTTTAAAAATCAGCGATCTTCACTGCCTGTTAGATATAAAATATAAAGTGGGTCTCAGATCAAACAAGAAGCACTGAATTAAATTCCATTTCCCCTCATCGTCTCTTTAAAATATGTGTTTATTTTACCCCAGTATTTTCAATGGAATTTCTCCACTAGGCTATTGCTACTAACGACGCTAGTGGTTACGACGGTCTTTCATCTTGTTTTACACTTAAACAACTAAATGAATGCTTAAGTCTGTTTAACTGAATGTATTGTAATTACATTAAAACATCGATGCTGTAAAAACAACTTTGTGAAATTGAAAATAATCACATTAAGCGTCCATTGGCCCTGAAAAAAGAGAAAGTGAAAACCTGAAAGGACCGACCTTTATTGTTTTATTTTTTAGCAACTTGGTACCAAAGGACTGCATCTTTTAACAAAACCAGTTAGAATAAACGCAAATTCAAGCATATGTTGATAGTGGTTCCTCGACACATAAAATTATATACAATATAATTACCCAATTTGTGAGAGTCCATCAAGACAGCCTGACAGGAAGAGTGGATTAATTATTGGTAGCCCAATTTAAAAGGCATAATAGCCCCTGGAGCAGTTTTGCAAGCCCTGCTATATTGGTTTAAATTCAGAAACGTATAGTCAAGATTCTGAACAAAATTGAAGATGCTAGATGTGATAATAGTGCTTTAAAGCACCAGTTGGCAGTGAAAGCTCCAGCACAGCAGAGCAGGGGCCAGATGGCATTACTGCATTGTTGAACTCATGCCACCTCAGGTCTGCTTTTCACACTACTGCACTACTGTTCGAGAAACCCCAGTAAATCATTGCCACATTGGAGCGGTTAAAGTATCACCTTCGTCTGTTTTCTATTTCAATGTGATTGTCATTGGTACAGAAGAAAGTGATCTCTCCTCCACCAGGCTCTGTTACGCAGCTCTGGAGCCGGCCATGCAGACTGGTGTTCACTACAGGAGAGCGAGCGGGTGCTGTGGCATCTTTGCAATAGCTGTCACATGACCTTGGAGGAGGCGGGGCCAAGTACAGAGGAGGCGGGGTCCAGCTCTGAGGGGACGGGACCTGAGCAGGGGTCAGTTCGCTTGTTTGTCTGTCAGTAAATGTGAGATTTTTTGAAAAGCTCTTGTGTATGACTGGATGACAGTGGCTTTTGTGGCAGGTGGTTGATGCTAATTTTAGCGTGTCTGCAGTTTGAGAAGCAGGTGTTGTGTCGAGAGCCCCGACTGTGGCCCTTCCGCCTTCACCAAGTACTGTGCCAACACTAATGCGGATACGGCCAGTGTCTCAGCGGGCGCAGGCATGGACAGCACTGGACACCAGAGGAAATGCTGTCGTGTTGGCATCTCACAGACTCTACCTCGGCCCAGTGGCATTTTGAGGTACTCCAGAGCGTCATTGGAAATTAGAGGGAATACCATATTTAGGAATACATGTCACATTTATTTTGGGAAAATAATGACAATTTATTTCAAATTTGACTGATAACTTGGAAGGAAAAACTGTAATGTTCAATTTTAATTTGGAAAAGGAAACAGGATCAAGAATGATCTGAACGCAGTTTATATCTGATTGCAAAACATGTCTAATGTTTGAGCCAGTAGACTATACGATTATAGACTACGTATATGCCTATAGATTATATTTGAATTATTTCAATATGCTGTGTAGTACAATGATGACAAAAACATAAATGGCAATTATTTAAATACTAAACAATGAAAGATATGCCCTCCTCTACTGTGACCGATTTTTCTAAAGATTTTTAGACAACACTGAAAAGACTTAATTTTTTTTTTTTTAAATAAAACAAATTAAAAAATAAATAAACAGTGCTTCCCACACATAGACTTTACTTGGGCGAGCCGCGTCGTTCATTATTTGTATGCGTTTTTGCATTACCTTTTTACTTAAGCCTGCTTTCGCTTGGCTTTGCAGTTAACAATCGCCCTTGCAGAGCGAGAGAAACATTGAAAAATTCATTGTTGAATCTAAACGACTCAGGTAAAACTTTACTATATACTCGAAAAGGACGAAATGACTGGTCTATACTGGCTGCAAAATAAATAAACACAATTAGTAACGGTTAATTAATGCATTTGCCTTCAGAGATAGTGTCTGTTTTCATTCCTTTTTGTCATTTATTTCTCATTTGCTGATTATTTTATGCATTTAATGATGTCATTACGCTATATTAAAAAGGCTATTTTATAAACATAACTAAAATGCTTTGGCATTCAAGTTTGCTTTGAACTTGAAAGTGAGAGAAGCAGATTTAACCTGTCAGTGGGGGTACATGGCTCCTTAACGCAAGGCTGGGCAAGTTTATTTATATAGCACATTTCATACACAGTGGCAATTCAAAGTGCTTTACATAAACAGGTATAAAAAAAGACAAAGATAAGAAAATAAAAACAAATAATAAAAATGATTAAAAACAGGTATCATAAAAATGAATAATCAAAAATAAGAGAAATAGTGGATTTTTTTTTTACTTTAACCCATTGAAATGAAACTGTGTTTAACAGTGTCATAATAAATAAAATTATTGTTAAAAATTAAATTGTTTTGTTTGTCACATATAATTAACCGTTTATGTGATGTGGATAAATGGTGTGTTTCAATCCAACTACCACAAGTATATTTCAAACCTGTGGGAAGCACTGTAGTATGTGAAGTTTAGTCCTGGTAAAAAAAAAAAAAAAAAAAAAAAAAGACATGCATGGATAACCAACTCAACTTGTTTTCAAAAATGTAAAATAAAAAATAAAGCAATTATTTCTTGTCAACATTAAAATGCCTTACGTCCTTTACATAAATACTACAATTAGAATATGTACACTTATTAAATAAGTAGATCAAATCACACTATTAAAAAGAAAAAGTTGCAAATAAATTGAAGGTCACTGAAGTACTTCTTACAAAAAAGTAAAAAGTCATTGTTCCTTAATATTTTACTTAATGTAATAATTTGTCATTCTCCAGCATGTGGAAATTGTTTCACACATTTTTTTCCAGTGTTGAACTGACTTTTATTCAGATTTGTGCTTATTCACAATTGAAGACAAAATGATTAACCCTCCTTTTTTCCTCAAATTTTCAAAAATGATGGAAGAAACTAAATTTTCACACTGTTTCCTATTATCTTACTATTATAAGCATTTTTTCTATGTGTTTGGCTGGAATGAAAAACTATTTATATTTTAAATGTTTACAAAAATGACTATGGTCAATATTATTAACTATTAGCCATATTGAAACTAATGTGTTGATAAACATGAAAAGTATCTCTCCATTTAACAGCACTAGAGAAATTAAAAAAAATAATAATTACAACTTCACAGGAGGGCTAATCATTTTGTCATCAGTATACTAAACAGAAAGTGACTTACTCTCCATCTTCACCACCAAACGTTGACTGTGTTCCCTCAGAAATGGCCGTGAGCAGCACGTGTGTGAGCTTCCCCCTGCTGGCTGGAGATCAGAGTACATCTGGAACGGCAGCGCAGGCCAGAGTCACTCAGGCCCCATCTGCATCCCCTTCGCTCGTCATCCCAGAGAGAGCGCACACTTTCTCAATCCCGGCCCTCCAGCTGGCATCGGGGGAAACCTTACCACTACGGCCAAAAACCAGAGCTCCTCTGCCGGTTTGGCTGTACGTGTGTGTGGCTCTCCAGGGCTTGATGGACGCGTTTACACCTCTGACCTGTATCCTCCAGCCCACCGGCTCGAGGATGGAGACACAGACTGTGACGTGGCCGATGCGTCCGTGTTTGACTTCTCCTCAGTGACGACCTGCAGTCCTGATGAAACTCTCAGTCGGCTCAGGGGAGCAGTAGCACACGAGGACGAGGAGGATGATGAAGAGGACAGCCAGGTCCCAGTTCTCCTTAAACCGTCTTACACTCATAACAATTCAGCTGTGCAGGCCAGCGGAGGATTATGGATGCCGTGGCAGATTCCCAGACGGGCTCCCATTCCTGCGGAGGTTCGCATTGGGGTGCAGGGGAAGACACGTGGACCAAAACCACACCGCATCCCCGCCACTGCTTTCCGGCCAATTTGGGACCCAAATTACTCTCAGGTTTGAGAAAATGAGCACACAAAAAAATGCTGCATGCTTTACAATTTAATTACTATTTTGTCCACTTATGTTGGTCTTTAATTTCAAGTTTCAGCAACTTATTGACTTTTAATTATGGGTGTCCTGATTCAAGATTTGACTCCTGTCAATCCTGAGATCTAAAAGCTACTGTATAAAGCTAGTTTCCCTTGAACAGATTTGTGTGTTTTTATATGACCCATTATAGGGGATTTTGGGGGGGGGGGGGAACTCAAATAGGTTTTGAACAAATGAAGGGTGAGAAAAATGATGATCTATCCCTTTAACGTTAAAAGGCAAATCCTACTAAACCATTGCTAACCAAAAGCACTCTTTTTTTCTGTTGCAGAGTGATGCAACTCCTGCGAAAGAGACCTCTGTGTCCTTCAGCTCAACCAATCAGATCATTAATCAGCCGCAAGAGAATGACCAATCACGGTAAGAGGTCTTTGTTTTAGAATACCTGGAAGACTTGTGAAGTATACATGTATGTCTAATAAGCCAAACACATGCAGCAACTCAATGAATTTAGACATGTAGATTTGGTCAAGACCATCGACTGAAGTTTAAACGGATAAAAACTAATGAACAGTATGTGACTATGAATGTGGCGTGGTTGTTGGTGCCAGACGGGCTGCTCTGAGGGTTTCAGTAACTGCTGATCAATGGCAATTTTTCACAAGCAACCATCTCTAGTGTTTGCAGAGAATGGTATGAAAACTTGGTATGTACTTGTTGTAGTAAGTACTTGTTGACCAGCGGTCGAGGTCTGCAGAACAGGAGACTGAAACTGTTCCATTCAGAAGGGCTCATTCTTATGCCCTTAAGCCTTTGAAGGGTTTACCTTCTGAGGTGATAGCTTTAAATTAATTAGGGCATAGAGATGAGCTCTTACAAATAAAAAGGAGCTTGCAACACCAAACAACCTTACTTGCAAGAGATCATTGTGGTCCATGAGTTGTACCCGAAATCCGTCATTCCTTAGGGCCCTTCAAAGTGGCCAGTTTTGAACACTTCAGTTTGGAAGGATACTTCAAAATAGGGTGACAATGGTTGGATTCACTCCAAAGTGCCACAGTGAGGCTACAGTTCAAAGAGACTCAGAAGAAAATGGACAATTTAAGAGTAGAAAGGTTTTTGGTTTGATGTGTCTTGGTTTCTACTGCAATATGCAGATGGTCTGGTCAGAATTGGGCATAAAACACTTAAAAGCATGGATCCATTCTACCTTATATCAGCGGTTCAGGTCGATGATGATTGTGTAAGGATATAGAAGATATTTCCTTGGCATACTTTTGACATTTTAGACAACTAAACCTCAATACACCTGGTCACAAAGCACAAATCAGCTGGATTCTTGAACATATTAGTAAATTCACTAGAGCCAAATGGCCTCCACAGTCACCAGATCCTGATCAAACACACAAATAAATCTGTAGAAACTGTGACACTATCATATCAATATGCACCAAAATCTCAGAAGAATGTTTCCAGCATCTTAAGGCTTTTCTGAAGTCAATAAGGATCCAACATAATATTGGCAATACACTAGCTTATAAAGTGGCCAGCTGCAGCTAATGTGGTTAAATGACTTTTTATCCACCATGAAATCAATGTTAACAGGTCCTATTTAATTTATTAATAACCAATAAATATATTAATAAGCAATAAAATTAGTTAATCTGTGCTAATCATTACTTTCTGGCAACTCCCTTCAGCAATCTGTCACTCACACAAAATTACAGCAATTAGCAAAGCCTCAAAAATGCAATCGATTCCCAATGGACAAAATACAAAAGTTCCACCCGTTTCTCATTTGAAAACCTATAAAAGCCAACACTGAAATATTAAATCAGTAATCTGCAAAACCATTGACAAAGAACTCCTAAATAATGCACATACATTTCAAAGTGGCTTTAAAGTAACTGCACTTTCAATTTAGTTTGGAGGTGAAGTTCTGAACAGCACTCACCTTTGAGCCTGCAAATACATCTCTGAGGTCTGCAGAGCTGAAATAATTGGTGGCCTGCTCCTCCAAACTGTTCCAATAAAGATCTGCACCAAATGTTAAACTCCATGATGCCATATCAGTTGTAAAGCATGTGTATATGTTGTTTTAGATCTGGTTATAGAGGTACTGGAGTCCAGCGGGCTGAAGCAGTGTGGCACGACAGCGAGGACAGTGAAGGACCCTGCAGTACAGTCTGACACACTCCTAAACAGGAGACAATCAACATTCCAGACTTCTCTACTTCAGCCAATAAAACAGTTGGAGGTTATGAAACATTTCTTCACTTACCCCACCAGCACACCGAAACACCACAAAAGTCCTCAAGCAGGATTTGATTGGTCTGCGAGATGCTGATATAACAGGATGCACGTAAAGTCAGAAGAATAAAAACGTTCAGTAGAAAATAAGACTGCGTGTTTATTAATGAGTCTCATGGAGAACATGGTACAAAAGCAGTTACAGGCCTTGAATGCGCACACACACATTCACACACACGCACACACACATACATACACAAACAGTGAGTTTTTTGGGAATTACTAATACTTCAAACCAACTGACCAATCAGCTGAGTGGGAGTGGCCAGGATGAGTCTACACATACAGGATGTGACATCACTACAAAACACTGCAGTTCCTCTATGGCTAATCGCCCCGGAGAGAGTTTCCGTGGTCGATTGGATAGGAGTTGCTCTGGTGGCAAAGCTCTTCCTATATGGACCTGGTTTGGTTGATGAAGAGGACCTGAATGAGAGCAGGAGGCATGATTTACAATAGAACATTCGGACTGCAGCGCCCCAAAGATCATGAGCTTGGGGACACAAACCCGATGGTTGTCCTGACCAGCCCAGAGGACAGGGGGATCAGCAGAACAGGGGTCATAAGGTCACAGGATTGTGAGTTTGAGTCCTCTGCTTCTCTGTAACAGTACTGCCCTAAAGTGCAAAAAAAGGCTCACCGCACACTATTAAGACACACAAAATCGACACTGGTCCACACCAAACACTCTACAATGGTGTGTGAATCCGGTGGGTCTCAGACTGAGATTGTCAGTAGATACATCAGCCACTGGGCCGAGGTGAGAAGTGAGGGCAGATATGTCACTCTGTACAGAATACTTGAAACACACAAACGGACTAACAGAGGTGCTGTCTAGACATTTGTTCTAAGCATGGTCAAGGCGAATGTTTTCAGACACTTCAATTTTGTTCAGTACTGATATTGAAGGCACATTAAGAGTCTAGAGCGTAAATCAAGGGTTGTAAGTACTGGTGGAGGGGCAGGGATTGTGATAAATTGACAAATAAAGGAGTACGGCTTTGAAGGGGGAGGGGTTAAGACATCATATTGGCTTTAAATAGTGTGAGGAAAAAAGTTCTCACCAAAGAGTTCAGAGTTCACCTGAAGGGTACAATCTCTGGTCAAGGTCACGGCTGTGAGTTAAAGGCAACTGAACAGAGGCGTGCTGAGAGCGTTCGGGTTGAACCAGGGATGAACCTTTGACCTGCAACCAAATAAACATCCACAGCCGAGTCTGACGGTGGTGAAAGGCCTCGGAACAGTAAATCCATCAGCGAATGTGCCGTCGACGAGCACATGACCTTGCATGCTGAACGTGACGGAAGTGAAAAATGAGTGATAATCACATTCTTCGAGAGCAATGACCGTCTTCAGGTTTTTACTAGCATCAGATTGTCTGCTTCCAGGTTAAACGTTGTTAAAACTCAAACGTCTCTATTTTAGGGTCACCCCCTTATTCGTTGCTGTCCCTGTTGTCAACTAGCGAGAGTGTGTGTAGGGAGGGCTGAGAAAGAGTGTGTGAAGATTGAGACAGTTCTCTTTTGTAAGTCTTGGGTGGCAGTTTTGGCAGGGCGGAGGTGGAGTTGTGCCGAGGCGGGATGGGAGGTGCCGGTGTCGGGGGAGGAAGGTGAACCAGTATGGGTTGACTGACGCTGGGTGTGCAGGGGCGCCGGGGCACACGTGGAGAAGGGGTTCCAGGGAGGACAGCACGGGGAGAGGGGGTGCCAGGCGGGGTATTAGGAGTGCTAGGTGAGGTGGTGAAGTCCCAGTGGAAACGGCCCCCTGGAGATGGCTGCATGTTCACTGGGTAGTTGATGAAGATCTCGGGTGGTCTCTGGGGCACTGGTGGAGGAGTGTCCGGAAGGGGGTCACGGGGCAGAGGTGGTGGGGGGCTCGGCAAGGGCCCATCCGTCGGCCCGTTGATCACTGGGACACGCGGCTGCAGGCGGGGAGGAGGAGGCAATCGTGGTGGAATGGCAGGAGGACTGTCAGACCTGGAATTCTTCACACAGGAAAGTTGCACTCGTGTCAATAACAGCACAACATGATACTATGAAAACTGTTTTAAAATATATTCCAATTTGACATTACAAAATCTGTAAATATATCTACACAATGCAAAACTTTCAGGTGTTACATTTCAAGTGCTAGGCTGTAGCAAAAAATAAATGAAAACATAAGGACAGTTGACCTACAGAGAATAACAAAATTTGACATTACAAAATCTGTAAATTTATCTACAAAATGCAGATGGGACATGCTTAATGATGTTATCATATTTTTGGTATAGGTTGCTTTTTAAAACTTGCTGTAGCTTGTATTCAAATGCAACCTATATGTTCATATTGTGCTACTAACATTAATCAGGCATGTGATCAGCCAAGAACATCAAAAAAAGATGAACCCCCTTTCACAAAATAAATGAAAACATAATGACAATTGACCTGCAGAATAACAACAAAAGTGTGTCCTGGCTTAATATATGATGTACATAGAGCACACGTGGTTGTGACATGCAAATGTGAGAGTGGGAAAAGTGCACAGTCGTGCACAATCTTGCATATTGTCAGCGGTTTCCTCATACGCGCACATTATAGGACTGCAAACACCAAAATGAAGCAGTTACTGCTCCATCTTGTGCACAATGAGATACAATAAAGGGGCAAACCTTTGATGCTGATGACCCTGACTGTGACCCCCCCTCTCAAAAAAAACAAACAAAAAAAAAAAAAAACTTCAGACTTTAACAAATTACAGGGGTCGCCCAAGTGAGCTCGGAAAATACGGAAATCACATACCTGATTAGTTGCACTAATGCACACAGAAATTTGGTTGCACTTTATATTTGTTCAGGCTCAATGTTCATATAACATCAAGCATGATAAGATGTTCTTACAACACAATTTAATAAGCTTCACTTAAAAAAAAAGACTACAGGAACACAGTATGCAAGTTACCTTATCTGAAGAAGTATCTTTCCTGCGAGGAGGTAATGGAGGGGGCTTGAGTGGCTCATCACTCATCAACTGGTGTAAACTACCACATGACACAGACTGGAACTCTGTCAAAGAAAAACAATAGTTTTATAGTCTGTTCCGATTCAGAAATTTTGCAAAAATGTCCATGCAAGATCTATGGCAGAAAAGAAATGAAGTAATGCAACATGATTTACTAAGCTTTGCAACAGACATCAAAATAGGATTTGCATCACTACCTAATGCCTAAAAAGCATGATTAACTAATTTACTCACGCCTGATTATTTGCCCTGCATTGGTCATTATAGAAGCAAAGCTGCTGTTTCTGTATTGTTTAATTTGTGCATTACTTTGTAAATCTGGACCTATTCATACAATTTGACACTTACTGGACTGCGGCAGAAAAACTGGGGCAAATATGGTGTTGTTACCTGCAGAAAAACACAGAAGATGGCATTTATATCATGCTGATCTGTGTATGACCTGCATTCCCACTGAACTAAGTGTTCCCTCACCGTAGGGCATGAAGTCCTGCTCAAACACAGAGTTGAAGTCAGAGCTGGCGGACTGCGGAGGGGTGGGTGTGTTTGGAGAGGTGGGCAGAGAGGGAGGCGTCTCGGGTTCAGTTTCTGCGATGCTCCTGAAGGTGATTTTGTGAGGTGGTTCTCTTTCTAATGGCACTGGGTGACCTTTTAGCGTCCCTCCTCCACCTACCGCCTGGCGCACAGGCCGAACGCCCGGAGACTTCAGAGAATATGTAGTCTTTCTGGGCTACAAAGAAACACACACTCAGTAAGAAAATTTTAAATATTACATTGAAGGGATAGTTCACTGAAAAATGAAAATTCTCTCATTAAATCACTAAACTTTACTTTTTGTTTCTTTCTTCTGTTCAACACAGAATTATGTAATAGGTGTTCAGTGTTTCCTCTAGGATTTCTTTTCAGCTTTGGCGGCAGGCCTTTTGCACAGATCTACCAACTACCTATGGCGTTATTTCAATGACAAATGTCGTGAGCGCAGTATTACGCAAGTTGAGATCACATTTATGTAACACAAGCATTCAAATATCTATGCTTGAGTGCCGATTTCCTGTTCATGCACAAAACTTCTTGCACGTTCTAAAATATATGCTGCCAAGTGCAGATTTTCTTGTGCGGTCTCAAATAAATGCTGCTGAAGTGCAATTGATGTATGTACTTATGAAGTGCGTGTATGTAACGAGGATGTCTCCATCATTTATTAGATTTGCTAGGAATATTTAAGACTGTCTCCAATAGACCTACAGGGCAGCATTAATGCGTCCTAAAGTAAAGTGAAACGGCCATAAACTCCAGCAAGATAAAGCCCCAATCCCAATTCTACCCCTTAGCCCTTCCCTTTAACCCTACCCCTCATTTTGTGGATTCCTGTAAAGGGGTAGGGGTGTCCCAATTCTCTTTAGCTTGAAGGCATAGGGCTAAGGGGAAGGGATAGATAACCCTTGAAACGGATTTTTCAGGATCACACTAGAAACCAAGTGGTAAGAAAATCTGAATAAGGGAATAAGGGGGTGACACTTTTCATTTTTTGGGTGAACTATCCGTATAAACCCATTCATTTTACTCACAAATCTAGGTGGCTGCTTGCTGTTCCGTGGTTCGATTTCTAAAGACTTATTGAACAAATAGTCAGAGAAATCCTTTTCATTCATATTCCCCATTGGATTCAGATTCTCAAAAAACCTCTGCAGAAAAACAGGAAAAACAAAGAGTTTACACTTGTGATAATGAAAGAAAAAAAGTATGTGGGAGTGGGAGACATATCAACCTTTATGTCGTGTTCCACTTTGAGGCAGTAGGGTTGGTTCTGGTACTGCTGGATTTCTCCAGTGATTTCTGCTACTTTGCGTCTCTTGCTGAAGTTGATCAGTTCTTTTCCGTCCCGCTTTAGGAAATCTGGATTCCCCTCTTCAGTCTTCAGAATGTTAGTCAGGTAGATACCTGAATGCATAGAGCAAACATCACATATACAAGCATTTGCATGATACTGTTTAAAAGTTGGAGGTCGATATTTTTTATAATACTTTTATGGATGGATTAAACTGATCAAACGTGACATTGAAGGTGTTTACAAGGTTACAAAAGATTTCTATTTCAAATAAATGCAGTTGTTTTTATTGGTTTCCACAAAAATATTAAGCAGCAGCAGTTTTATTAAAGACTGGCATCACATTTTAAGATATTAAACAGTTGGTAAATTTCATTATAATTTCAGAAAACTATTGTTTTTAAGTGCACCCTTGGCGAGCATATGAGGCTTTCTTTAAAAACATTATAATCATCATAAACATTATAATAATATAAGGCAATACATTCAAATAAACATGCTACAGTAGTTTATCACAAGCAGCTCTTTCTCTTACCAAAGAAAGGTACACAGGGTGGGTTGATGGACTTGAGTTTGGCGAGATATTTCTTAAAATGATCCTGACTGAGTTCAACAGCTTCTTCTAGAATCCTCCTCTTCCTCTCAGGCACTGCCTGCATATATACAATAAAATAAAAAACGGTGTGATTATTTGTCATTTCAATTCAGAGTCACAATTAGAGAGCAGTTAACAGTCAGGTCACCTCAAATGTGTGGTCCAGACGATACACCGGTACAGAATTGATGGCGCTCACAATCTCCAAAACCCCATTAAAGTTATTAAGCTCTTGAAACACCTGCAGGATCTCAATAATGCGAGAAAATACAGCAACCCTCTCGTCTACATTTTCAGCCTCTACTATACACCTGAGAATGGAGAAAATAGTAAAAAAAATGTATTTAATTTAAACATCAAGATTGGAGACAATCTGGCAGATAAAATGTGTTGAATTGTTCAGGGAATTAAGTTGGCTTTCTTTAAAAAACAAAGTTGAAAAATTTAGTGCAAAGTACAATGTCATATTGTGGTAAGTTTTGGATAAACAAATAAAAAGTAGTACTGAACACTTATCAAACAGGCCCTTGGAATACCTATGGCAAATACACTTGTTTTTTAATACCATTATCTCTGTGTGTTTGAACTTAAGTTTATTCAATTTGTCTGAAATACTGAAGTAATTAAAAGGGATAAATATATATATTAGTTGTGTAACGGATAACAAATCTCATGGTTTGGATCACATTAGGTTTTTTTTAGTCACAGATAAAACTATTTTTCGGATCAACCAAAAAGGAAGGAAGAAAAATGTAGTTTGCTTTCCATTTATTAAAAAACAGTACTGCAAGACACTTTTGATTGTAACAAACAGAACTTAGAACCTGTAATTTTATTAAAAATGAAATGAAGAAATAATCAGCTGAATAAAAATAAATGGTAAAGTATTCAGTACTGTGAAAAAATTACTGTTACTAGTACTGTTGTTGAGAACGTTAAATGTATAAATCTAACATTATAATTTGAACAACCCATATTTATTTTTAGTCTACTTTTCAATAAATGATTCCGTTATTCACTCATAAAACATCATATTTCAATGCTAGATGTGTCATTTTTGAAGAATTATTCAGTGGCATGTTTTTGATGGGTGGCTGTCACTACCTATTGGTTAAATAATGTAATAGCTGGCTACAACTTTCATTTGAGCGTCAAGTTAAATGCACATGACGGTGATTTTAATTTTTACCATAAACCTCAGAGTATATATCTAAACTATAAACTTTTATCCAAGTATTTCTGTGTTATTTGACTGTTTGTAGACTAAAGACGCAATCTCTTTCTTAATTTTTGAGTTTTTCAAACAGATTTGAATGCAGCGATTTGAAGAATTAATAAACCTGCAAATTACCATCATTTATAATTTATGTTGCATGGGTGTTGAGATCCCGATCTTTTAATGATTAATCGTGCAGCTTACACTGAATGCATTAATGCAGGCTAAACAAGTAGTGACAGAAAACACCTTTAATAACCTAAGAAGCCCAACACATCCTGAATAACCTACCAAAACTTTTTCCGTCATCATATTTTACAGGAAAGCCTAAATGCTTCCATACATGTGATTTGAATGACACGAGAGGTGATCTCTCTGCGATCGTTACACATTTAGGATTAATCTACAGTAAAAAAAAAGGGAAAAAAAATGCATTTGTGTATTAATCTGGAGGTCACGTGTGTTCTGAACCATGTGAAACATCGTACGAATCACGTGATCCATTACACTCCTAATATATATCGAGTTTAGTCTGCTAGAAATTTGGAAATTTTGTGTTTAGATATTAAAACAAAGGCAAACAAGGCTATACGTTTGAGCTGTCAGTGAAAATCTAATAGACAGTAGTGCAAAAATATGCTAGTCATCAAATTGATGCACAGAAAATATACAGATTAGACTTTACATGTGTAGTCATTAGCTATGTTTCCATCCACCTATTTTATGCGAATTTTACAAATGCGCATAAAAAAAAAAAGAGTTGATGGAAACGCCATGGTGCGCATACATTTTGAAAATGCGCATAAAAAACGTATGCGCCTAAGTGGGTAGGATAAACTTTTTATTCGATAAGAAAAGATGCGCATAAACTGCGATGGAATCACTTTTACTGCACAAACTCCAGCATGCGCATTAAAAAAGGTGATGTGATTTTGTTGAAAGAGATCATGTGATGCTTAAAATGTTTGTGAATGGATAAAACGTCAGGCTGAGCACATTATGAAACATCTGAAATGTTATTTTGGTCATTATAAAACACCTTACCAATTCAGTATTAATGTTACTATATTATTAATGACCTACAGAATCAAGAGCACCTGTGCTCCGCGTCTGACACCTTCAAACACCACTGCAGGCTCACTGCTTGTAAGGATTGTCTTCTGAGGCGCATTCATTTAGAAAAGACTGATGCAGCTTCTCCTACTGCAGCAAATGCAGTTTTTACTGTTGATATTTGGCGCCAGTTAATCAGGAAGTGACGATTTTGTTCGCTTTGACTCGTTGGATGGAAACGATGCTTCATTCGCACAACTTTTATGCGATAATCGAGTTTTGCGCATAAAATTTATTCGCATTTTTGGATGGAAACATAGCTACTGCTTGCGTCTATTTTATGATTTTTGTAATTTGTTGTAGTTAGACATCTATTTAATTTTCACAGACAGATCAAATGTAGCCTTTTTTTAGCCAAAACACTTGAGATGTCTATTAAACAAAGAATGCTTCCTGGGAAAGAACAGAATATTTATTTTATTCTAATGAACAGCAAAATTTATGCCAAACTGTTGCATGAAATACTTCAGTCTTATTGAGGCAAAACTGTCATTTCAATTAGCTGAAGCGGCACTAGTTAACTTACTTTTCAAACCACAGTGTGAGATTGGTTGTGTGTCTGATCATCCTCAGCAGATTGGGAGAGTTCTTCTCTTTATCTTCCTTTGTCCAAACACTTCCTACGAGCTCAGACGGACGAACAGCTCTATTCACACAAGTGTACAACAGTTAATCAATGCACACAATGTCTTCCTTACTCATGCTTATCGTTCAGACTGGCCTACCTGTACAGATCAGACTCCAGAAGTGTTAACTGGCGAGCAATTTCTATCGGATGAAGGGTCATGAGGTCAAAGGTGTCGACCTGCCCAGGGCGACTGATGTGCCATTCGATGGGTGGAGGTGGGCTCTCAAAGGTAATGTTGTGACTAATGCCGTTAGACTGCATTTGTATCTTCCGTCTCATGATCTTACTGATAGACTCCACCCACTTACGCATAGATTTACCTGAAAACAGATCATCATTCATCAGTCTCCTAGATTATAAGTGTTTTATTAGATGTGTGCGCACATTTAAAAAGACTCTGCACATGCAGCATTGGATGTCAGTATATGGCAAGCCTATTTATATTTTAACATTTAATCCATAAAGTATACTAGTATCTATTTTCATACTATTAGTACTTTTTACATTAGGTACTAGTGCTTATTCCTTAGTTGCGATCACCTTTTTAAAAGATACTAATATTTAATCATTAAACACTGGTATTTATTTTTTGGATACAAGCACTGACACTTAAAAACTAGTATTTATTAAACAGACACTAGTTATTGTTTATTGGATACTAGTGCTTATTTATTAGATTTTAGATTAGACACTAGTACTTTTTAAAATTCTACTGTGGCCTTAAGACTAGTAACTAAAAAGGTAATGATTCGCACTTATCGAGTAATTGCTTCGTACAGTTTTTATTTTTTCTTTATTTTTTTTCTTATTTTTCGGGTAATTTAAAGACACAAACGTATCGGCACAATGCCTTCCTCAGAGTGAAAGGCATTGTGCTGAAACGTTTGTGTATTTAACTCACCCGAAAAATGTAAGAAGAAAAAATAAAAACAGTACGATGCAATTACTTGATGAGTGTGAATCATTGCCTTTTTGAATAAAAGCATTGACAAGATTGACGCACCAAAGGAGTTTTCTAAAAACCGCAAGCGCAGGGTAAACTTCAGCAACTCTTAAGACTAGTACCATCATAAGACTAGGAAAAAAGCAGTTATGACAAGTAAAGTAAAAACTGTTACTACTAACAACTACAAAAGATACTGGTGTCCAATAAGTGACCAAGTGAACAACTACTAGTATCATAGGTTAAAGTAAATAGGTTCTAATATCTAATGAATAAGCACCAGCATACATAATAAATGAATACTAGTATTTAATGAATGCATACTTGTGATATTACAGAGAGTTTATGTACCTCTAAGCTGTGTGGTGCTGATAAGATATCCTTCAAGTCTCTCGTAGAGTTCAGGATCATTCTCAAAGTCATAAAAGTGATGTTCCACCCACTGACGGAACACATTCAAGACCCTAATGATGAACACACAGGCATCAGACTGACAGGCTCACAGACAGTATTAGAGATAGGATAGCAGAACTGTCTGTGGTGATTTAGTAAACAACAGATCATTGACTGAGATTGGTACAGAGAACATGGGATGGGGTCTAAAATTAAATTAAATATATGCAGAAAAAAAATCTAAAAGCAAGCAAATAATTCAAAGGTTTGCAATATAACTGATAGTTTTGAAAATATTTGAATTAAAAGTTATAGTAAAGATGTTATATTGTATTTCCTTTTGAAATTCTAATAATTAAATATTAAAAACATAAATACTGAACTTTTAAGCTGCACAAATGTTTACTATTAATAATACTTATAATACTTGATTTAACTTAAATCAGCATATTAGAATATGTGAAACTGACAAACCAGCATATTAGAATAATTTCTGAATTATTATGTGACTACAAAAGCTGAAGTAATGATGTTGGAAATTCAGCTTTGCCATAATTGGAAATAATTACATTTCAAAAAAAGATGAAAATGTTAAGTCACGCATGAGCTTGGTTAGAAATTGAGAATCTCTGTGTATGTGTTTTACCTGAGTTGGACGGGCTGCACGTATTCTCTGCGAAATCTCTGAAGCTCAGCTGCCATTGGTTGTTCTCCATTCCAGAGAGCTTCTCGATCTGCTTCTGATGGTTCGGGCTCTGGAATCTCAATCCTGAAGGATTATGGGAAAAATGGTCAAAATATTTAATGCATGAACTAAAAATCCTAACACACATAAAAAAACAACAACAACAGACAACGTAACAATGAAAAATATATGTGTAAAATCAACAAACTCCATGATAAATATGCTTTAAATGGCTCGATTGTGACCTCTAGTGTTCAGTTTTTGTCAAGACCCTTATTTCATCGTGCTCTACTTCACTTTTTGTTGAAATGCAGCCTACCAGCGAGAAAAAAAAGTCAGAAATTAAAAAAGGAAGTGGATGGGAACTACAATTCCGATCATAATCTGCATATTTTTGCATGTTTTGATGTGCTTTCTCTCAACATGTTCCAGCATGTCTTTTGTGGCTGTCGGAATATAAGTGACCACATAAAGGTTTACATTACTACAAAAGCAAAGCGAAAGCATTTTCAACTACCAGATTGACATAAACATAAGATGATGAAATGGATTTTAAATCTGATCATATGAGAGGACATTAACATTCAACAGTATTAAGAGAACTCACTATAATTACCAACACATTGAATCATATTGCACCATAATATTATGTTCTTTTGATTGTGTAGCAAAAATTAAAATATGCAAGTTTTGGGACACAGCTGCATCTTTAACAAACCACTCTGTTGCCTAATAAAGTGGATGGCCAGTCGATCATCATTGTCAGTTTACATCCTCCATATTTTAATTGATGTCTTTTCATACTGGAGAGAAATCTTGACCAGATTTTTCAGGTGAAAAAAATCTGAGCCTGTGTTATTATAACAAAGAGTTTAAAAGAGAATTACTGAATGAATTTTTGTAATAAAAATAATTTGCATTTAATACAATGTGCATAAATTAATGTACTTTTTACTTCATGCTTCTAATTGTATCTTCATCCAATGCAATATCCAATGTTATCATTATTAGTCATTAGAGTGTGCATTGATTTGAACTTTGAATTCAAACTCAAAATAATAACCCACCAACAGGGTTTCTGCAGGTGTCACCAAGTTAAATGTAGGACTTTCAAAGACATTTTTAAGATCATGAATTACATTTTAGACTTAAACATGGCTAAATGCTAAGGATTTAAAAAAAAAAACCCCAGTTAGAAAAGATTTTACTTGCCCTATTAAAAAAATCAAAACATTTAATAATAATTTTTGCTTGCAAATATTTATTACTAATTTTCAAATATCCATTCTCAAATTCTATAACCCTTATCAAGAATAGAACAAAACATAGCCATCAATTACTTCAGTCTATTATAATAATTCAATAATAATAAATATAGGTGAGGTCAGTATCCTCAGCAGTAAATAAATCAAGAACTTTTAAGCAAATGTTACTGTAGTGAAAGTAATTAAATGTTATTTTTAAATAAAAAAGTTAAAATTTTTATTGAGATTGGGATCATTGGTGTTTGTATGGGTGTTAATGGCCAGATTGGGTAGTTATAAATGAACAAAAGAAACTTAAGAAAAAAGAAAGTAAAACGGTTAAAGATTTAGGACCTACAACACAGCATTTCAGTAGATATACTAGTTTTTAAGGCCTAAAATTTAGCTTTTAAGATTTAAAGGGGTGGTCAACTGCAATATCATATTTTAAACTTTGGTTGATGTTTAATGTAGCTGTGTGAACATAAACAACATCTATGAATGTAATAAGCTCAAAGTTCAATGCAAAGGGAGACATTAGCTTTTACAGAGTTAGCATAGCAAAGCCTACAATGAACAAAGTTTGGGGACCACAAAAAATACATCTGGGCTAATGAAATCACAAGGTCTTCCGGTTACGTGCATTCACCTCGTGCACACACCCTGCATAGCGAAGGGGCGTGATCAGAGGCGCTGTAATGTTATAGCAGAAAAAGCTAAAATGCCATCCAAACGCTGCTATTTCCACAGAGGTTCTTCTGTTTTTGTATTTGGGCTTTCAAAGGACACGACACAAACAGAGAAGTGCTTACAATTCAATCTTAATTATGTTACAAAGAATTATACAAAAGATATAGCTCTAGCATTTAACAAAGAAGAACTTTCAAAATCTCTACTAGTTCAGAACTGGATTTGGCTAAAAACTCCCCTAACCAACGAAGCTGTGGATTGTGAGCCGCAATCTGTATTTTTATTTACAGAGCAGGCGGAGTGCCTAGTGTGCTTTTCATTTTTCTGTCAGATTCAGGCAGCTGACGTAGCTAACAGCTTTTCTGTGTACACAGCGCAAAAGCTCGTGCTTGATTCTACAAATCACAGCACATCAAGTAAACTGACCAATCAGAGACTTTTGAGGGCGGGCCTTTCAGCGAAACTAGGAAATATGACAGACGTTTTATAGTTAGCTGAGTAGCATATGAAAAAATAATGTGATTTTCTACAAGTGAAGCGTGAGCACACATTGCTTTGTATCTAATAAACACAACCAAGCCTTAAAAATACATTGTGGACTACCTCTTTAAGACATTTTAAGACCCCGCTGATACCCTGCATCCAGTTATTTTTGGAAAATGCATTTTGGGAAACTACGATTAGAGACAATATTTTTAATTTGGAATATTTAGTATTAATAGTTATAAAATGCCACAAAAACGATGTGGATTTTTACAGCATAAACTGTTGATCCACTGCTCCTGGTCACATCAAGGACTGATTATTGTCTAAACATGTACATCTATGAGTCACTGTGCTTTACCTTTCAATCAGTAGTGTGAGCAGGTCTTGTGGTTTGCAGAAAGAGCGGTATGTAGTCAGAAACGTACGCACAAAATTTGGGTCTGTGAGGGAAAAAGAGAAAAAGGACATTCAGGGACACACAAACAACAAAGAAACATGCTTCCAAGCAAGTGTTGCACAGATTTGGCTAAACTTGTTTTTCACGACCTTAAAAATCCTTTTGATATAAAGGAGGGTTTTGTTTTGTACCTGCGTACATGTGGTACGTCAGTCTCTCAATGAGCTTGACCACTGTCCCAGCTTTAATAATGGGGATTCCAGTCTTGCTTTGTGCTCCTTCCTCGAACACGATATTCTCTTCGGAGTCCTGGATGGCGAACCGGTAGACGTCTGGTGATGGCAGCCTCAGTGGTTGTGCTTGTTCTTCACGGTGCAGGACAGTGTCCAGCATGCGGTCCAGTGTGGGCCGGTACTGCAGAGTGACCAGCGCAGCCATCCATGCACTCTTTTCTTCTGCTGAACGGGCACTAAACACTGCTCCGCTTTCCTCACGGCCCACCAGCTCAAATGCATGACGGAACTCTGGTGAATCCTCGCGATCTACAATGCGATATTTGCGTAACACGAACTTCTCTTTCAGACGAAACTCTGCCCCACTGCCTGCTCCTGGCAACCTGGAGCTCTGATTGGCTTTGCAGCTTATCATGAGGCCATCGAATAGAAAGTTGTGCCGCTCATGTTTGGCACCAGCCCGAAGGAGTGCCCCCTCCAGGATGAACTGGCTACAACACTGACCAATGTCTTTGCCCTCCCAGCCATCAATACTCTTCTGGATGTCGTTCATACGCTTTATAGCCGCCTGCTTGCTACGAGATGCACGACTATACAATCGATACAGTGGTTCCCTAAAACAGAAAGTCACAAGAAGAGATGAAAACATTGTTGGTTTAAGATAGACACTACAATTTAGAAGTAGGTTCACTTGAAGTTTTTGAACAAAGGAGGGCTCCTACACAATTTCAACTTCCAAATTCTATACATTTTCAGAGTCAAATTTCTGTACTTCTCTACAGATATTTTAACTCCTAAAAAGTATGCATTCTGAGAGGTCTTATCTGCACTGTAATAAAATACACAATCTCTATATTAGGACTATAAACAAAAATAGCGAATTTCTATTTCGGACAATTTTTAAGATCCCAGAGTTCGCAACAATGTAGGTTTATGATTGTGCACTCCTGGAAACTTCAAAATTGTCCAGAATAGAAATGGATAACTTTAATTCATAACACTAATACACTATAAAATATTAAAGTTAACAGTTAATACACAAAATGATCAACTGGAGAGAATGATTAACAATGGCTTAAGCCACAAACATTAGAGGGTCCATTAAATGGCATAACATTTTCAGCCAATAAATTTAGGTAGCTGAAAATTCGGTACATCTCTGATTTCAACAAACTTTTAGATTCCCATTTTTGCTGTGTGACTGGCTCTAAGGGTGCTTTCACACCTGTGGATCAATTTTTTTTTTGTCCCGAAACAGGGATTAAAATGTTACAGTGTTGCTCTTTGTTCTTGGTGCGGTTTCGCTTTCACACGGCAAAGTTTCTAAACAGACCAAAATAGCTAAACAAGTTTCACGGTTTACTATGCAGAATCCCGCTCAGCAGTTGTGTCCTTATTTTAATTTATGACAATGAGTAATAAGACAATATAAGCAGAAAGCTGCGCTTTAATTTTGAATGGTGACACTCACAGACATCGTCACCAAATATAAATAGTATGAGGTAAGACTTTCTTCTACATAGCCGCTGACTAGAATTTTGCATTATAGGTTTCACATTATAAAGAGAAATAACATATAAACCAAGACTGCTGTTCGGTCGAAAACAGATAAAAAGCTCTCGTTAATAGTTAGCATGCTTTTACTTTCGTATTTTACATGAAACACACATTAATCAGTAGGAATGACTTCCCGCCCTGCTTATCATTCTCTTCTCATATAGCCGTACATATATGCCCATTACATATCCATAATAGACTGTGATATAGCTTGGTTTGGATCGTATTGCTTTCTCACTACAATCGATCTGCTCCAGAGTTCATTTAAATTGAGCCGAGGCCACCTCATTAAAGCGATCTCAGGCCGATTGTTTTAGTGCAGATCAGATCGCGATTGTTGGATTCACATATGCCAAATGAACTGCGCTAACTGGGGAAACGCTCCAGGTTCCAAAACAAAAGCCTAGGTGTGAAAGCACTCTTAGAGTTAAAATGTTAATAAATAAAATTTTATTGACTAAAATTTTAATCGCAATTCGATAAAATATCGTTTATCAGCCCAGCCCTATATCAAATTCCATCCTTTTCTATACATTTTTCTGTACTACATCGAAAAGCCTGCGTTTATTTGTTCAAAAACACAATGCAATCAGTAATTTATTCATTCATTTTATTTTCGGCTTAGTCCCTTTGCAATCAGTAATATTGGGAAATATTATTACAATCTAAAATAACTTATTTCTATGCAAGTATATACAGTGCTCAGCATAACGGAGTACACAATATTTTGAAAAAAAAATTGTCTCTATATCTCAGTGAATATAGGCAGTGTATTTTGGTGCATTTAAACAAAACAGATATATTAATATTAAATATATTAATAAACATATATTAAAATAATATTTTAGCCACCAAACATATTTTGAAATGAAAAGATAATACAATTAAATTTAGGCGAAATTTGGCAAAAAAAGTTACAACCTACAAAATTTCTACTAAATTTTTACTTCTTTTTTTGCTTCTCTTGATTTTTTCTATTTATTTAATATTTTTCTTTAACATAAATTTGGCTGTACTAGTTTTTGACCGTTGAAAGTTATTGGAAGTTATTTTGTTAGATTAGCTCCAGATTTGGCTTCAGTACTGACTAATCTAATGTATTTGCACAAATATAATATTGTATAGCTTTATTAATTTAAAAATATTTTTTTTAATTTAAATTTTAAATTTATCTAATTTAAATGATAGATTTGTGAGGGGTGTACTTATATATGCCGAGCTCTGTATTAAAATGTAATTTATTCCAGTGATACTCTGGTGTTTGTGTTACCCTTGTTTGCGCCGTGGTTGGTGCTTAGCATATATGCGTTCAATGCTGCATTGTAGGTTGATCAGTGCAGTCTGTGCCTGTTTCAAACACTCTCTGTCATCTTGCTCTTCACTGCACTCCTGCAATTGCTAAAGACAGAAAAACACAGATAACTACCATATACCCAGAGTGTATGTAGTCTACTGCCTGTGTTTATTACTCACCTGTAACAGTTCAAAATAGTGAATGCAGTGGTAAACTGGAACCATCATCAACTGAGGAAGCACGTACTGCACTGCCTCCTTAAAGCCTTCTGCAATTGACTGAAACGCAGTAACACACAGGTCTTCTTTTTATTACTTACTTACCAATTGTGGTACATACAATTTCCTAGTTTAATGAAAAATGCTGAACTTATAAAAGTGACTGTGTTGACCTGGAAGTGCAGAGCTACAGTGGGGCGGGACATCAGTGTGTTGAAATGTTGACAGAATTCTTTAGAGAGGATGTCCTGAGAGAGCGTCTCATAGGGATCAAATGCCTGCTCCTATACACAGCAGACACATAAACAAACACTTTCAACACACACACACCTAGATTTAGAGTAGATCTTTCTCATTCTTTGATTTGTAAAGATTGTCTAAGTGTTTATCAGTACTTCAGCGAGGTCTTCAAAGCAGCTGCCCACAAGAGGGTGTGGACTCCCGTCAGCTGTCATTTCTACCGCATCCTCAATAAGACCCAACAGTTTCACTGTTAACTCCTGAACCTCTAGAATATTACTGAACGCCAGCTCCACATCCTACAATCACATCATAGAGAGAGAGGGAACAACTGAATATAATTAAAAATGAGGGCAACACAACAAACTAATCGCTGTCAGTATATATGCTGGCTTGAATAAACTCTGTGTCTGATTGTCAGAGGAGCGCACCTGAGCGGAGAAGAGTTTGCTATTGGACATAAAGGCTTGGCGGAATACTTTGATGATGAGATCGAGCTCCCGCAGATACTGACGCTCCTCCGCGATCTCCAGACGCACCAGGTCATCATATGTGAGCACACCAGATGAAGACACCTCCTCCACACTCTGAGACAACAGCCCCATCTCCTCTTCTTGATCGAACATATCCATTAACACCTGAGGGCAGACACACATGCAATATCATGGCTTTTAATACATCTAAATAATAATTTTCAATGAGATTTACAAAGTTATCAATATATATATATTGTATTATGGGACGAAGCAGTTTTGCCTTAAAATAACAAAAATTCTGCCATTTGTATTATTAATTACAGACCTCGTTATTTTTTATTAATTTATTGCATGGAAATTTTTCCATGAATAGTGTAGGTGGTTTTACTATGATAGAAAAAAAATTATTTAAACATTCAATGCAAAAATTGAATAAAAGAAATTTGGAAAAAATATAGCAAGGCTTGCACAATATATAATTTCAGCATCGATATTGCAATGTGTTTATCAGCAATAGTCACATTGCAAAAATTTGCAATGTTGAATCAGAATTATAGTTGAGCAGGAGCCATTTGTAGATTCACAGCTAAGTTTAACAATAACAGAGTGAAAGTTTATAATTTGCATGTGTTTTTTAAGGTTTAAAGAGGGTTTGAAAAATGTTGATGTTTAAAGGTGTAAAAAAATATATTTAATTATTTATATGATATGTGCAAAAATAAGGTTTTCTTACTTAGGAGATTTGTAATTTCTAGTCCAAATATATATATATATATATATATATAGACCCCAATAAACCCCAGTGATTGGAATCCTAGTATGTGCAATGAATTGACAAACAGCAGTGTTCACAATTAACATCCACACAAATAAGGATTTTTAAACTTGGCATAAGAAACACAGCTTATTAATAACTACCTGACTTAGCAGAAATTAAAAACCAGGTATTAAGAAACTTTTCCTCCTACTTGTTTCAGACAATATGATGAAAGCTTATTAATTCCTATAAAAACTGTTTATGATTTTAAATACCTTTCAAGAAATAAAAAACTTTTCAGAAACCCAAGGAATCAGTCAATTTTTTAAACACAAATTTTGCTAAAATACGTTTTAGACACAACAGAATGAAACCCTTATGTTAAATGTGTTATTCTTTTATAAACACATTTGGGTGACATGGTGGCTCAGTGGTTAGCACTTGGTCAGTTGGCATTTCTGTGGAATTTACATGTTCTCCCCGTGTTAATAAATAAATAAATAAACACATAAATAATGAATAAATAAATAATTTTTTCTCACACACAAACAAACACCTGACCTTATCAGCACACATGGAGACAGTGATGTCCTGCTGGCTGATCTCATAATGTCGAATGTTGCTCACGTAGTTTCCAGCCAGCTTGAGGATGTCAGCTGAGATGTACTCCAGCACAGCAACAATATATAGACACACATTATAGTCGATCTTATAGCCCAGCACCTCCTGCAGACACAGAACCAGACATGCGTTACTCTGTACCGTAGCCATATGTGAATGATATAGATTACTAGGTAAGAGTGTTTGGCACCTTCAGTAGTGGATGTATCTTATCAACTGGCAGCAGCAGCGGGTTTCTTCGCTTGCGTTTCTCTATTGCATTCTGAGCGTCACCCATGGCCCATTTATCGATGGGATTTGGGAACGTCTTCTGGACGCGGTCCTGTGATTATACATCAAATCAAAGGTGACAAAACTGCCAGACTCTGTGTGTGTGTTTTTAATGTAGCAAAGACTAAATATACTATTCAGGATTGAGGGTATCCCTTAAACTCATTTAACAGTGCTGGATTGTTTGTGTTTGGCAGCATGACCAAAATTTTCATGGTGGAAAAATCATACTTAAGTAAAAAGTACCATTACTTCCCCAAAAATCTGTTGTAAATATTACTCAAAATATGAGTAAAAAGTAGCCCTTTTGAAAGTACTCAACAGTAGCGAGTAGTTAGTATTACGTTGTGAAAGGTTGATGCGTCAATTTCTGCATGTGTGTGTAAAAAAGTAACATTATGTAGTGCATTTAGTGACTGTGATATTTCACTCGCCTACAAAATCATTCCAAGTAAAGACTTTGCAAATAGAGCTATTCAAGCTATCTGGTGAAATTATATGGCAGTATGTATTCATTCATTCCCTTTATTAATCCGGGGTCGCCACAGCGGGATGAACCGTCAACTTATCCAGCATATGTTTTATGCAGCGGATGCCCTTCCAGCTGCAACCCATCACTGGGAAAATCGCAGTATATATCACAGAGTAAAACATTGCAAAGTAAAATTTTTGCAGTAAGTCCCAAACATCCCCCGAATTAAACGTCATACAACCGCCCAGTTGAGCGGGAATCAGGCAGATAAAGCACACCATTGCACCATCACAAAATGATTAAAATGAAAACCACTAAAACAAACAAATGGCATGTTACTGTACAGCATTACATTATATGTTTATACGCGCAGGCCTATGTATTTTCCCTCTTTATATTTGTTTACTCGCGATTGTTGGCATTGTGCATCGAGTGGTCTCGCCACTAACAGAAAGATAACATAGTGCACCGTAGATAATATAAAACTTCAGAAACTCTCCGGTAATACCCAAGTATAAAATGCATTTTATTGCATCCTCGTTTCGGAAGACGCCATCAAACATTCAGCCCAAATGCTCCAGAGAGACATTAAACATACATTTTTCAATAGGCTTTATGACACTTAGTAAGAGGTAATTCCCCTTTATTTCAGAGAATAATTTAAGGATGTTACAAATTATTCGGTTATCTTAAGTAAAGGAACTGATAAGTGTTTCAGGACATAAGAGCAAGTAATAAAGTATAGGCTACACCCTATATTTCATAGCGCTCAGCAGCTATAATAAAAGCTCTATATTTAAAATGTAATTTTTAAATGGCCCCAGCTGGCCCTCTTTGGCCCAAGGTATTCGACAGGCCCAAAAAAGGCTGGCCGTTGGCCCTGAGGAAGCCCCACTTCGGCCCGATCAGGCCCCGGAAATGACAGTGGAAATGAGACCTGGCTCATCCTGGCAAGCTCGCTTTAAGTGCGATAGAGGAAACACAGCTATTGTGTAACATTGGCCAGCTAGTGAAGTGCTGTGCAGGTAAACCTTACTCCTTTGACCTCTAAAAGGTGCTTTATTGACAGACGCAAGAGGGCATGGTCTTCAGCCTTCTTGTTAGAACAACTGACTCCCATGCGGAGAGTCGCTGGTTCAATCCCAGCTCAGAGAGGGTTGGGTGGTACAGGGCCGGTGGGGTTACAAATGCAACGGTTGGAATATGACATAATCAAACATACAATTTACAGTGTTCTACGAAGCTCCAATTGTATTTTTAATTCAGCAAAGCTGTCATGCAGTGATAGAAAAATCACAGCTTAAGAGTTCACCATTTTCTTAAAATCAGAAGAAAACACATTGGTCCATCTATACATCACTCACACACACACACTCACACACACACTCACACACACTCACACACACACACACACACACACACACACACACACACACACACACACACACACACACACACACACACACACACACACACACACACACACACACACACACACACACACACACACACACACACACACAATCACTGCCATTTGACAAATTTCTCTCAAAGTGTACTATACATCATAATACCACTCATCCCTGATGCAGGTTTGTATGCGTGTGTACCTCTACATCAGCTATTGTTCTGGGCTGTGTAACACACAGCTTGTTCAGGAGCTGCAGTATAAGTGCCTCAATGTGCTGGAGTGCATCTTCTTTAGCCGACAGGTTTGGATGCACTTGCACCTGCACCTATAAACACAGAATAGAGTTAGAACTCCAAAAGGGTGGCATTTAAATAGCATCACTACAGACAATAACACACACTCTTGCAATCACTACATGACATCGTCTGACATATGCATACACACACCTTCACGGCTCTCAGTTTGATGGACAAATGAAACTTAAGAAAACAAGAAAGCCCTCTCTTTTCCATTTTACCCCCTCCCACCTCACTGGGCTGTGTCCTTAAATAGGAATGCAGTCAGTTCAGGTGCTGTGGTAAAACCAGTTAGAGCAAACGTGTGAGTGAGAATGCAGACAGCATCAGTTTAAAACACAACCTAAACTAGCATTACAGCAGGTGAAAGGTTAAAGGTGAGCACAGGCTTGAATCTAGATTTAATCAACTTCTGCAGTGCAAATGTGAAATACTGAGCGAAAACACAAAGAAAACGCACACACACACACAAATACACAGATGAGAGATGGCTTGTGCTTTCTGCTCTAGTGTCTGGTTACATGCCGTCCTCCATTAGGCACTGAGAGCTGCTCTACTGGGAGCCCGCAACACACATACACACACGCAGATACAAACACACACTCTACCCCTCTGTCTTCTCCAGGGATGGGGGGATGATAGTAGCAGACAGAAAAGTATTGATGTGGAGAATGGGAGAGTAGGCAGAGAAAATGAGAGCTGGGAGCACTAGAGAGTGTAAGTAAGTGAAAAACACATAGGATGAGATTTGAAAGTGATGCTCGGGATATTTACATGTTTAGATGCATAATATAAGAGTTATAAAAATGAACAACTGACTCTCTTTTATGTCATTTCCATCCTGCATCCTTATTTAAAGAATGTTTGAAACCAGTTTATGTTACTTACATTTACTAACACTGTACAAATAGATCTTCATTTGTGTTCCTAAGATTAAATGAAAGCCACACAGGTATGGAAGAACATGAGGATGAGGCAATGTTAAAAATACTTTCAAGTCTATAAAATGTGTGTATATACCTTTATAACTATAGTAGTTTCAGCAAACCACTTCATATGGTTTTCTAAAGGCTCAATTAGTTGGAACTAGAAACCACTTTCGGCATCACATCAGATGCTGCCTAAATCTTTGTTTCTCTCACAACCACAAACATTCACACACACCATCTGCTCTCAGAGTCTCCTGATGGTACTGAGATATTTTCCATGCAACAGTGAGAATAAGATGGGAGGGAGATCTGGAATAGATCTGTCATTTATTCTGACAGGGGAAGCCCTGGGATCAGTCAATAGCATATACATTTCTTTACACTTTCATACATGATTGAGGTAAAGTTGCTTTTGTATTCACACATTCGTTTAGTGACAACTTTTAACATGCTCCCTACATTGTTTACTATGGTACTTTGAATATTCAGTCTGAAATCACATGTAAACATGACTTGAAAACAACATGAGCACTATTTATTTGATTGTAAACAATGTCAAACTCTGATAGTCATTGACTGCTGATATGATTTCACTATAAAGAATTTGCAAAGAAGACTTTTCTCTAATAATAATATTAAGTAGAAAGTCTGAACGTGTAAATGTAAAAACTTTTAATTTACAAAATTTACCTCAATTCATACATGCATGCATATAGGCTACACATAGAGACAGCTATCGTTTCCCTGGGTTTATAATTTATAGTTGTGTGTTTGAATTTCTTTTTCAAGTCTGTAAACTACTGATGACATTCTTCAAATTGATATTTAGTTATTGTCAGATATATTTATATTCGTTTTTAGACAAGAAATGTCAATGTTTAAACTTCAGAAGAGGTGAGAAATTGATGTTTAATGGAGTAACAAATTAACAAATGTGTTATTCTAACAAATTATCATTTTCTGGAGCTAAAACAAAGCTTTTTTTAATAGAAATGTTATCAGACTTTCATTGAATGATCAATATATTTTCTGGTTACACATGCAGTAAAACCAGAGAAACTAAAATTGTAATGTGGTCTCTCTCTCTCTCTCTCTCTATCTATATATATATATCTATCTATCTATATATATATACATACATACATACATACATACATACATACATACATACACACACACACACACACACACACACACACACACACACACACACACACACACACACACACACACACACACACACACACACACACACACACACACACACACACACACACAAGCCCGTAGTCAGGGGGCTTTGGGTGATTCGGAAGACCCACCCCTCACTTACAAAGGTCCAGAAGTTGTCTCATATACGAGCTTATTTATTTGTCTTATTTTGACCATCATAATAAGTGAAAATACCCATCGAAAAGGCCTGAAGACTAAGCGGAATCTTCTGGTGGCTGTCGCTTAGCTGTGACTTCAGCTAATCAGTTTTGGCCAATGCAAACAAATATTTTACACAAGTCCAACATTCAGCTGTGCAAGAACAAATACAATCAAATGTAAGAGAAGTCATCTTTCACTACTGTACTGTTTTTAAATGGAAAAAACACTTTACAGGAAACTTTTATTGTAAATCTTGGCTCTTATTCTTAAACAAAAAATGACCAATAAAAAGGTGTGAAGCACCAAAAGTGGCCCATATTAAAATTGATTTAATTCCTATTTTGGCTAAAATATCAAAAAAATTGTTTATGATGACCATCTGGCAATCTAATTCAGAAAAGTGCTTAAAATGTCACTAAAATTTATATTTAAATGTCATAATTTAATAGAAAATGTATAATTGCAAAAAGGTCCACTTTTTGTGAAAAAAGAACCACCTCTTTCAGCAGACTGGCTACAGGCCTGCTATATATTATTACATTTCTATAGCTGTAGATTTATACATCTTAATATATACATTCTAGTTTAGTTTAAAAGGAGTAACAGTGTGATGATAGTTACTTATTGAACTACTCGGTCAAAGGTAAAACCCTATGACAAAAACTAAAAGCCAACCACTGAACTCTCCACACTAAACATGACATCTATTGTCAAACTGAATGTGTGTGTGTGTGTCTCTAATACGAAACCGTTACAGCATATCTTCAAGGCTATTATCAACAGTAAACAAACACTTTGTGCATCTCGCACAGCTGCATCCTTCAGTAACGCTGCGTGTACAGCTGTGCAAATCCGCCAACGGATGACTTTTACCCAGTTATTACTCTTTAAAACTTACTCATTAAGCTTGAGCTTTGACATGAACGCTGTTATAAGTATGAATGAGGGACAGAAGAGGGTCAGTACCTTTCGCAGCCCCTGCACGAACAGGCCTCGCCATCTCGCGCTGTTCTCCTCGCTGGAGCTGAAGTCGTGCTGCATGCCTGCTCTGCATCGGCCCCGCGCGCTCCCAGCACCGGGAACAACCACACAACTTTAGCCGCTCACACGGCGCGCACACACACTCAAAACAAACTCAAACTCTACCGCATTTACGAGCCAGCTAGGTTTCCAGACACCCCAAACACCTCATTCTGCAGATAAAAGTGTTAGTAGATCAAATTAAGCAGTTGTGAAAGTGTCCGCGTCCCCGTCCTGACAGCCGTTTGGAGTGTCGCGGGTGTCGAGCGCTAATTAGCCGCTAACGTAGACCGAGATTAGCCGCACATGCTAGTCGGGCAGTTCGCCCAGCTGCTCCTCAAACAGGACAGTCTCTGTCATGTCTTTCACACGAAGGGAAATGTTAAAAAGTGTGCGCCCAGTGTCGTCGGCCTGCTGTTTGTTTGTCTCGCGGTGTTGTGCCTGCGGTTAACAGCAGCACATCTGGCGGCGCGCGGCGGCTCTGTGGCCTCGAGACTCCTCATGAAGCGCGCGAGCAGGAGTTTCTCCAGCGCCAGACTGTCATGTTCGTTGACTCCTCCGTCGGCTGGGCATGTTCCCGAAACACAAGTGGCGTCCAAATCGGTTGATATCCGACGAAAAGTCGAGGAGAGCTAATGTCTTTGTTTTTGTTGTTGGCAACGCAACGTCCCGATTCAAGTCCGCTGTGGAGCGCTCATGTCCATGACGGTGAAATCACAGCTGCATCTGCGCGGCCCGGAGGGAGGGATCGCCCGCTGTGCTGAACGGACGCGCGCGCGCAAGAGAGAGACACACAGAGAGAGAGAGAGAGCGAATGAGCACAATACACACAGTACAAGATGTCTCATTTTAGCACAATAATCATAGATTATATTACCAAACATTATATTCTAGAAGCATTTATCAGTTGTTAAACTGTATTCTCTGTATTACTTTTGATGAGTAATCTTTAATAATATAAAATAAACACAAAATAAGTTAAAACATTTCAAAGCCTCTCGTCAAGAGTACTTTTAAAAGTTATTTATTATTTTTATTGTTAATTTAGTTATTTAAAAAAAAACTCTTAAAATTCCCCCAAATTTCCAACCGGCCACTGCCATCGTGTGGTCAATTGTGGCATGGTCACGTAAGATCTTGTAAACAGTTTAAACGGAGATGAAGATGGCAGCAGCAGTTTTAACAGTTTTGTAGACGTCAAAGACCCTCAAACATAAGCATCCCAAAATGTAAAAGACGTTTAATAGCAGGTTGTACAGAAGCTGTTTTTGTACAGTGAAAAATGTATTTAAATGGAAGTAAAATATTATTTGGAGGCGGCACAATGGGTGGCGCTGTCGCCTCACAGCAAGAAGGTCGCTGGTTCGAACTTCGGGTGGGTAAATTGGCATTTCTGTGTGGAGTTTGCATGTTCTCCCCGTGTTGGCGTGGGTTTCTTCCGGGTGCTCCGGTTTCCTCCACAGTCCAAAGACATATAGTATAGGTGAATTGGGTAGGCTAAATTGGCCGTAGTGTATTAGTGTAGATGAGAGTGTATCATGAGTGTTTTCCAGGGATGAGTTGCAGCTGGAAGGGCATCCGCTGTGTAAAACATATGCTGGATAAGTTGGTGGTTCATTCTGTTGTGACGACCCCTGATTAATAAAGGGACTAAGCCGAAAAGAAAATGAATGAATGAAAATAATTTTTGATCTTTTAGTTTCCATTAGGGTACATTATTGCACTTTCCCTACTCGTTAGAGTACCACATTTAATATTTATACATTGATTTCCTTATTTATTTATTTATTTTAAAAAATTGTTTCATAAACGTGTCTGACTTGTTTTTGTTTTATAATTTGATTATAATTTTGGATAATTTATTTCATTCACACTATTTAATTTTACACTATTTCAGACAATTTAATTTATTAGCACCAATATTTCCATTAAAATCAGTTTATTTATGTTTCTTTCTTTTATACGGTTGTGTTTGTTAATACATTTTTTTTTTATCATAACGTCATTTTAATATTTGAATGTATTTAAAATTAAACATTTACATTTAATTAAACTAAACATTTCCATGAACAAAAACAAGTTAACACAAAGAAATATCTCTGGCATGTTTTTTTGTTCTTTTTTTATGGGGCACATACCCTTCAAGATGCACAAAAATATCAATATGCATCTCACACTACCTGACAAAAGTCTGGTCGTCGATCCCAGAGCAACAAATTATACCTTGACTTCTAGTTGATCATTTGCAAAAGTGGCAGTAGAATCATCTGTTTGAACCGAATCCCAATCTTCACAAATACTGCAGAAGTCCTATTGGAAGCCGCATGGACCCAAGATTCCCAGAGAAATCAGTCAAGTTTGGTAAAGAAAAAAAATCATGGTTTGGGGTTATATTCAGTATGGGGGCGTGTGAGAGATCTGCAGAGTGGATGGCAACATCAACAACCTGAGGTATCAAGACATTCATGCTGCCCATTAAATCACAAACCACAAGAAAGGGTGAATTCTTCAGCAGGATAGCGCTCCTCATACTTCAGCCTCCACATCAAAGCTCCTGAAGGCAAAAAAGGTTCTCCATGATTGGCCAGCACAGTCAACAGACATGAACATTATTGAGCATGTCTGGGGTAAGATGAAAGAGGAGGCATTGAAGATGAATCCAAAGAATCTTGATGAACTTTGGCCGTCCTGCAAGAACGCTTTCCTTCCCATTCCAGATGACTTTATTAATAAGTTATTTGAGTCATTGCAGAGATGTATGAGTGCAGTCCTTCAAGATCATGCGAGTCATACACAATATTCATTATTTTCCCACTGCACCATGACTTTATATTCTATACTGTACATTGTTTCTGTTAAGTGACAAGACTTTGTCTAAAAGTCAGACCTTACTATCCTAATTAAATAATTAAAAATCAAGGCATGATCATATTTTATTTTGATCAAATAATAGTAATCTAGAGGCTTTTGCCTTTCATATAAGCCAGTCCTGATACCAAATGAATAACTAGAAGTCAAGTTATTATTTGCTGTTCCTAAAACTTGGATAGGTGACAAGACTTTTGTCAGGTAGTGTATTTTGAGTCACATCCTCAACAAAAATTGTCTCCTTGAAGAATCCATTTAGTTTCATAGACTGTCTGACTCTTCTATGTCTAACAGTCATGTCCATTAATAAAATATTTAAGCATCATATGCATTTTTTCCAAGATCATGCATTGAATAATTGAGTACGAATTGCAAGTCAAAAAACACACTTAAAAATCTGGAAAATCATAGGAATTACAACAGTTTAACTCTTAAAACCTCTAGAATACTGAAAACCCTGAATCATAAAACACAAAGCAGAAGAGATATTCTTCTAAATAACACAATAAAGATAACATTAGGATCCATACATGAAGTTGTATTAGTTTTATTATTTACAAATCCAGTAATGGAGTGAAAATATTCTCTGAACCCCAACTACCTTTGTACATAAAGGCAGTGATTGCTTTTTCCTAATAAATCATCATATTTTTAAACACACAACATTCCCAAAAATCAGCATAATTCCCAGAAACACACATTAGAAAAGAGCACCAGAATTCTGTTGCATTATTACTGCTCCAACACTATAAAAGTTAAAAAACAAAAGCTCTAATGACGGCTTTCCACTCTGAATGAGTGTGTAAGAGTAACGAAGGCAGGATCATCTGAGGTGCGTCTACAGCTGAAATCTCTTCTCCAGCTCATCCGCGATCATCTCAGCGATGGCCAGAGATGAGCTTGCAGCAGGAGATGGTGCATTACGTACGTGCAGAACACGACTGCCCAGCTCTCCTTTCCCACCGTCAAACACAAAATCATCCACCAGGTTTCCTTCAGCATCCAAAGCTTGTGCCCGGACACCTGACGGCCCCCTGCACAAACACACACATAAGCCAAACGCAAGGAGGTTTGTTTGTTTGTGCTTAACCACATTACAACTTCGATGGCTGTGGCAGGAAAATGAATACTGCAGATATAGAATATATTAAAGTCGCTTTGAAGTGGAAGTTAGGATTGTCCTTTTTTGCTCTAACGTGATGTACATTCACTTAAAACGGTCCTGAAATTTAAAAAAAAATGTTGGCCGATGCACTCTCAGAAATAAAGTGACGAGAGCTGTCACTGGGGTGGCACTTTTTTTTTTTTAAAAAAGGTACACATTTGTACTTAAAGGGTCCATATTGGTACCTCATAAGTATATATTAGTACCTAAAAGTTTTAAGAGGTACACTTTTGTACTTTTCAGGTACTAATATGTACTCTTGAGGTATTAATGTGGATCTTTTATGTACAAATGTGTACCAATTGTTCTTCTTGTCCCTTTATTTCTGAAAGTGTGAATGATTATGCTCTTTGGGAAACAATTCGACTTTTGGAAGATGGGTGTTTTCTTATAAAAATGAAGGAAGAATGATGAATGGACGAAAGCAGGGCACACACTGATAGCCCCACCCTGAAGGCATTCCATGTGACCAGAAGTGAAGTCATTTTGAGGGTGGAAGGAAGGTTATGATATTTGATTAAAAGTTCTGAGTGCAAAATGAATTGTTACAAAATAATGAAGAGCACAGATACGTTGCTTATGTCAAACACTACTATATACATATAAAAATAAGAAGTGCAAATTTATTTTCGCTAAAACCTCAAACTCTTGTTGGTTTAACAGTGTTAAAAATGTCTTCAAATAAATGAACTGAACAAATTAAATTCTTCACAGAATTAAAACAGGCAGAATTTATTAGAACATGCTCCATGTTTCCATCCTCCTATTTTTATGCACATTTTGGATTATAAAAAGTAAAAAAAAAAAAGCTTGCTATTTTGATGCCCGCATTAAACAAATGCTTAATGAAAACACCAAGATGTGCATATATTTTTAAAAATGTGCACAAAAAAATGTATGCACACAACTGAGTGAGATAAACGTTTCACAATGGAAACTGCGATGGAAACACTTTATGGAATTAATTCCAGTATATATTAAAAAGTCATGTTGATAATTTTGTTATGAAATATCATGTGATGATAACAATGAGTGCGATGGACATCCTTAATGGACAAACCAGCAAGCCGACCGTCATCACAGTGGTTCAGTATTAATATTATTACCTCAGAAAGAGAGTCTTAAGCATCTGTGCTCCCAAAGATAGTTTTATGCTTCCAAAAGCCACGTTGTGTTCACTGCTCGTCTTCTGAGGTGCAAGTGATTTATAAGGAAAAGACTTACGCAGCTTCTCCTACCTCAGCAAATTCTGCTTATCTTTTTGAAAATTTCACTAGTTTATCAGCAAGTGACAATATTATTATTGGATTATTCATCATTGGATTATTCTGAAACGTTGCAATATTTCTGAAACATTGCAATATTTGCTAATTTGCCAGTTTTGCGCATATTTCGGTATCTTTGGATGGAAACATAGCAAATTTTTCTCTTGTTTTTTCTACTGTGAGCTGATTAGATGTAGTAAAGTAGGCAGGCACTACATTCAGAAAGAAAGGATGAGAGTTTCGGGAGACTTATTACAACCTAATCGACACCTCCCATTCACCATTTCTGCTTATTGTAAAAACTGACAGCCAGAGGGGCATGGTTAAGTATGTTAGCCATGGCCAGTACCTCAAAATCACATAATCTGACAATTTAACCGTAAACAAAAATGGACGTGCATTTCAATTTTAGATTGTGTGTCATCCTGGAGTGACCAATTCTACATTGGGAATAAAATCTGATTCCACCGATTGGCACCGTGTTTTTGTATGCAGATGCCATTCTCTTTGCCAGTTGTTATCATTGTACAAACAAATTGTTGGTTTTAGGTAAATTGGACAAATTTTGGGCTGTCAATAGTCTGCTTCCTCCCAAAACAAGAAAGCCTTATTTCAGATATTTCACGATTTCAGATAGTACAAAAATAGTGAGGATAAATGAGATTCATTATGACCCTTATGGTGTGTTTTTGTGTGTTCATACCTGATGACATCACTGGGGCTCAGTTCGGGTATGAATTTCTGCAGGATCTTCACCTGAGCGCCAGGAAACACACCTCTATATATCTCTCCAACTCCATACACTACATTCTTCATGACCAGTCTCTGCAGACCACTGAAAGCATCAAGCACACTTGAGTGTTTTTATTCAACACACGCAGACCAAAACTAATTTTGATCTCAAAGCACCACAAATCGAGATTACAATGGGACACGTACAATGGAGGTAAATGGGGCCATTATTTGAAGATTTGAAAAGTGAAATTGATAATCTTATGAAAATACTTGCATTAATTCAACTGTTTCAACATATTATCAGAGATGGATATTTGTCCTCAGCGTTTTTTGTTTTTAAAACTTTTAGAGCTTTTTTTTTGTCATGAAGGTTAACAGGTTAATAAGTGTCTTTTATCCTTATCAGAATTAAACCAGAGTTTGGTAAAAACCTAAACAATACAAACACACACACACACAAAATAAAATCTGAAAAATGAATTATGTGTAATAACAATGGAATGACATATGGAGAAATGCATTGCTCAGCTGGGAGTTTTTCAAAGACTTCAACAGGGTGTAAAAATCTGGATGGTTCTGTGGGTCTTGTCTATCAAATCTAATCTTTAATTTGTATTTTCTATTGGATTCAAGTCAGGTGATTGGTTGGGCCATTCTACAGCTTGATTTTCTTTCTCTGAAAGCATTTGAGTGTTCTTGGCTGTGTTTCATACCATTGTCTTACTAAAATGTCCAACCTGGCTTAATCTTTATCATCCTGATAGTGTAGATGTTGGACTGAAGCAGCTCATATTAGTTTACACTGATAAAGGGCAGAGGTTTGCTGAAGAACTACTGAGAGATTTCAGCTGCTCTCTGGGGTTTCACTGCCTTTCTAAACCTCCCTTTCTTCATGTGTTCAATACTTTTTCCCTGTGTTATTTAATTTTTTATACATAACTTAATTTGTAATCCAATTAGTTTCAGTTTTGTTGTTATTAACATCCGGTGAAAATTTCAAGTCAACGGCACCTTTAAAAATATGTTTTCTGAGAAAAATGGTGACATGTTCAATACTCATTTTCCCCGCTGTATATTGCTTGTATTGTGTGAACATTTCATTGCATACAGCAAGTATTTTAATATTGAATTTTGGTTCTGATCACTTATATTTTAACAAATTTAAAGTATTAGCCCCCCTGTATATTTTTTTTCTGTGTAATTGTTTTAATAACTCTTTCTAATAACTTATTTATTTTATCTTTGCCATGATGACAGTAAATATTATTTTACATGATATTTTCCAAGACACTTCTATACAGCTTAAAGTGACATTTAAAGGCTTAACTAGGTTAATAAGGTTAACTAGGCAGGTTAGGGTAATTAGGCAAGTTATTGTATAACGATGGTTTGTTCTGTAGACTATCGAAAACAAAACAGATTAAAGGGGGTGATAATTTTGACCTTAAAATGGTTTTTAAAAAATTAAAAACTGCTTTTATTCTTGCCGAAATAAAACAAATAAGACTTTCTCCAGAAGAAAAAATATTATCAGACATATTGTGAAAATGTCCTTGCTCTGTTAAATATAATTTGGGAAATATTTTAAAAAAAATAAATAAAAATTCAAAGGGGGTCTAATAATTCTGACTTCAACTGTGTGTGTGTGTGTGTGTGTGTGTGTGTGTGTGTGTGTGTGTGTGTGTGTATATATATATATATATATATATATATATATATATATATATATATTACAAATGTAATTATTTTTAATTAATTTGCATTGAAACAAAAATTTCAAAAACTATTTTTTTCTAGATTATTTTTTTTTCTAAAAGTCTGTTATTCTAAATCAATGCTGCATTTATTTTTTTAAAAATACAATTTTATACATTTTAAATCAAATTTCTTTATGCAAAAAAAAAACATTCAGCAGTCACTGCATTCTTCAATGTCACATAATCATTCAGAAATTGCCCTAATATTTAATTAAAATTATTATAGTTAATAAATATTAAATTATTAGAATAGTTTTGTTTCATGATATGTTTTTCAGGAATTATTGATGAAAAAAAAACATTATTTAAAATAATTTAAAATATTTAAATCATTAACTTATTTTTGATCAATCCAGTGCAACTTTAATGAATAAATGCATTAATTTCTTTAATTTTCTGCATTAACCCCAGATGTAAATGAGCATGTACCTGAATGAGAGTGCGTTAACGAAGTCTTGTGCGTCGAAGTCAAAGAGTTTATATCCCTCTCGTTTAAAAGCCAACACCGCGTTTGGACCTAGCCAGACACTTCCATCCATTCGAGGAGTGAAATGAACTCCGAGAAATGGGAATCGTGGGTTTGGCACCTCAGCACACAAACAGAGTCCTTAAACATTGTATTCAATTTTATTCTAATAAATGTGAATTGATATGTTTGTTTTGAGAGTCTCCACTCACGGGGTAGATGTTGCCTCTGACCAGGTAATTTTTCTCTGGCTTGAGCACCAGGTAATCTCCTCTGAAAGGAACGATACGAGGCTCTGAACTACAGCCAGACATTTCAGATAAGCGGTCAGAGTAGAGACCACCACACGCCAACACAAAAGCACAGCGCACCTCCTTGCCCTGCACACAAACACTGGCAACCTCAAACAACAACCTTACCGACGTGTATACAATACAATCAATCATTTAGCAGACACTTTTATCAAAAGTGACCAACAAATAAAGCACTTCAAATGCAAGATTCACACACACATTCATTTCTCACCTGAGAGCTTCTGATGATGATGGGGTATTTCTGCCCTAAACAAAAATAGAGGGATGAATAGAGTTATTAATGAAAGACACAAATGCCAAAAAAGAGATTTGAGATCTTAGGCGTTTTGGCTTTTCATGATTTAAAAAGAAAAACAAAAACGAATGCCTAATGGAAAGACATCCAAAATACAGCAATTATTCAGCACAATTAGTTGATTTATTTTGGTAGATTTCAACTGGAATACATATTTTTAAAGGCTGCTTTCTCAAAAGGAGTTTTCCTCCTGCACTAAACCATAAAACTCCATTTCAGCATGTTTTTTTTTATTCATAAATTTTTTATCTACATACTGAACGATTTTAACAGAGGGATAGGTTCATAAATAACATGCCAATTAATATATGCGCAACATTTTACTCAACATAAAAATGTGGGGAAAAGAGCAGGCTGCAGACAGACTTTCTTCAATTATAAGCAAGTGTAAAGAAACAAATTACAAATACTCAAATTACTGTAATTGATTAGTTTTTCTCAGGAATTGTAATTTACTAAATAGTTTTAAAAATGTGTACTTTTACTTTCCCTTGAGTACGTTTTTAGTGCTATCGGTACTTTTTCTCCACTACTTTCCTTCAAACTGCGTCACTACTTTATTTTTTCTTGTTTATAGGGATTAGAAAATTGAGTCATTTATAATTTCAGCAAACTGTTTGGAAGCATTATAAGTGTTCAAGAAGATGTCCAAAGTCTTTATACACATTGACCCAAAGACATTTCACTGATGAAAAATTATGGATGTTTACTGTATGAAGACCGAAACGGCCTTAAACACCCAGCAGGTACAAATGTCAACATGACATCAGATTGAAGTTGTACCCCAAACGTCATGGGGACGTTGCATTTTGTTTGGAAGTGAAAATCAGGTTGACGTCAGAACCCAATGTAATGTCCAACCTCCAAACAAATATCAACGTCTAATGATGTTACAGCATGACGTTGTGTGGATGTTACCACTATGACGTCTATCAGACGTTAGATTTTGGTTGCCATACCTGATATCTAAATATCAGTATTTGACGTCAATATGATGTTGGTTTAAGATGTTGGCTCAACGTTGGATTTTGGTCACTTTTCAACAGAACCTAAACTCAATTAAATATAGCCTATCACTTGATGTTGTTATTAGACATCAAAATAATGTTGTCCCTTAGACATTGAATTTTGGCCACCTGAAGTCACAACCTAAATCAAACCTTATATTAATGTCTTATGACATTGTGTGCCTGCTGGGCAATTACATGTAAACGCAACAACTTTTTACAGCATAATACTCACTACTCTTGAGTACTTTTGAAAGGTCTACTCATACCTATTACTCATACCTTGAGGAATATTGACAACGGATACTTTTACTCTACTCGCACTACATTTTTAGGCAAGTAATGGTACTTTTACTTAAGTAGGATTTCGCAGTACTCTTTCCACCACTGATTATAAGTGATAAAAAGAGAACCTCAAAATCCCCTCTGCAAAAAACTTCATTCATCTAAAATAAAGCAGATCAATTTAATTTCAAACCTTTAATTCCGTGAATAAAAGTTTTCCTCATCAATGTGGAGTTTTTCATGGATGTTTAATCAGTGGCCAACACTTGTTTTTGACTGAAGTAAAGTGTATAATTTCTAACGATTTGCTCTTCAGTGTTTGGACTTTCAGCAGTGAAATTTAATCAACACTGAACTGAACTAAACTGAACTTCAACTCTGAAAACTGGACTGAAGCAGTTTTAAGAACTTCTATGTTAAGCTAGTTTGACAATCTACATTGTAGAAGCGCTATAAAAATAAAGGTTGAATTGAATTATTGCTATAAGTACCCGCATACATGTAAAAGGTTTTTACCAAGCTACTATTCATAAAAGTTAGAGAAGCAGATTCTTATTGGGTGTGTGTGCCAGTAGTTTTTTTGGCGTAATGATGATTTTGTAGGTGGCGGTGTCTAAATTGACCCGAAGGACAACCGTTGTACCCTAAATGTCTACAGCAGTCATGAGAATGTTTTTCTAATGTTGGAATCATTTTAGGAAAAGTCACCAAATTTCAAGATTAAAAAAAAACACTGTTAAAATGGATGGCCAGTTCATTTTTGACCCATACGTCAAAAGGAGGGTTAAATAATACCTCATTTGCAAAAGTGAAAAGAAAAGAAAAGGACTATGGCATCAGTAAAGTCATGTGATTCACCATTAGTGCTGTCAGCTTGACTCTCTGCTGCCACACTCATGTCAGATGCCTCATAGTCAGTCATCACGGTGCCACCTGCTTCCTGGAAGTCCTTACCATACGCCAAAGCAACTTCCCGCCAATCAACAATGCCTGTGTATGGAGAGTCCAATGCCATGATGCCCTATGTATGAAGAAAGAAACTGTCATAGACCCACAACTATTATATGGATTATGGAGTTAAACATTCAATTCTGCAGTATAATCTTTGTTTAATTATTTATGTTCACAGTTTACTTCAGTGCAGTGTTTCGAAACACTTGCGTTTCGGGTTCTGTCATCCCAAGCTTTAAGGACTGAAATGCAAGCAGAGTATAGCTGTTTGTAAAGTATACAGCACTTTTTGCTGTAAAAAATGGGCTTAGAAATGATTCTAGAGAATAGCAATGCATATAAAAATATCAGAATCGATTTCTATTTCTATTTAATTTATCATTGTTTAAATAAATCCAGTCTTTGTTGATCTGTTTCTTTAATATCTTGTATAAAGTTTGTAATGTAGCTGCCCTTCAAAGTTAACAGTCTGCAAAGTGCATGATTAAAAAAAGACATCCTGGACTCTGAATCGCTTTATGTTTTCTAATCTTTTTCCTGTTGATCTACAACTACTCTGAAATGGCCATTTTGTTTTCAGCTAACCAATTAGAGCAGAGTTGGCTTACTGAAGGAAGGGGTGTACAGATGACTCAGATGATTAATGACTCTAATATTAAGTGCATATTCAATGTTAAAATTGCAAAGTTTTCTGACCAAAGATGCATTTAAACACTGTTGTAACAATATCAAGACACTGTAAAATACCATATGCTCTTTAAGAAATCTTACGAACCCAAACAGCAATATGTGTTAAACTAAACACAAACCAGCATAACTATTATTGATTTTAAAACACATCCTACAACATATAAACGCATATATGATAGGTTAATATTTAAGTGTTATCATCAGTGTGGGGTTAAGGTCACCTGTGCTGGCCCTTATGCAATCTGTTGGTTATTGATCAAACCAATAAATGATACACACACAACAAGAGAATATGTACCCTGTCTTTCATTAACACAGATAGCGTCACTTACCCTGCAATACGGCTCTTTCTCTCTGAT